CCCCCCCCCCCCCCCCTCCCGCCTCGGCCAGCCTAACGACAACCGAGTGCCATGAGCGTGGCACATCGTACCCACCACCGTACGGTGGGGGCTGACATCAACCATGATGAGCTTCATGCCACCATGGATGCAGTCCTTCAGCGAGTCACTGCGGCACTCACCGAAGAATCCATGGTGAGTGAAAGGTTGCTAAACCCCTCAATTCCCCAACGATTTCACCCATTGCTTTGCTTCGTCGGGGGCTAGGTCAAGGCCAATCGCCCTGCCCAAGGCAGCGCTGAGCTCAAGGTTTGTTCCAGTCCCGTCCAGCCTCGCTGCCTTCGCCCGGTCCCCAGACCGGCCGATGCATGCTACCCTGAACCTCATTCATACACGCGCCCTGCTTCTTTTTCTCGCTTGCCCACAGGATCCGGCCACGGATGAGTTGGATTCAGATCGTGACTTGTTACGGCACTTCCATCGAGTAGCTACGCTGGCCACGAGTCATGCTGATGGACAAGCAAGCCATGCGCTCAGCGGTCTCTTTGCCAAGACCGAACAATTTCTCCTGTCACAATGGCCCAAGATATGTGAAGCGCCCGCCATCATTCGCAAGCTGCACGCCCCGCCTCCCGAGCACCTGCATCGCGAGGTACGCTGAGATAATTCATCTGGATTTGGCACTTGTTTGATGAGAACACCTCATGGTCGGCGGTATGCTATGGCGACCAGATTGCTCGACGGCTGCCGTGGACTTGCCTCGAGATTGCTGGCGTCATTCTCCAGCGTCTCGTATCCGATTACAGTGGGTTGCTGCTGCTAGCTTTTTTGTTTTTACTTGTCTGCCTCATCTTGAACCAACTGACATGGTCCCAATCCTCTGGGTCTTCTCTTTAGATGCCGCTGCCCGGCGTCAAATTTACTCGGCCTCTGATATCCTGGATCGACTGCAGGCCAAGCTGGATCTGGAGCTGCGGCGCGCTTTTCCCATGAAGATACTTTGCCAGAGGCTGGCCACGGAATTGATTGAGCATGGCAACGTTGCAGCCCGGCCCCTGCCCATTCGCCGACCACAGCATGCCTCTGTCTCCAATCGCCTCATGCCCTACGATATTGTTCAATGGGAACCCGTGGCCCAAATGTCAAGTAGGACCTGGACCTTTGAGGCCATTCTTTATCCGCTTGAGCTCGTTCCCATCGTCACTCACATTGCTTTTGTGCTTTCCTCGAAATTCCGTTCTTGATGTTTTCTCTTGCATCCCAGCCGCTGGCCGCAGTGAGACACAGCGGCGTGCCATGCAAGAGCTCAATGCAAGCATGCTGCACGTGCCTGTCGTGCCTGCTGTCCCCTCCTCACCCAACCTACCAGCTACACGTCGTAGTGCGTTCCTTCACACTCCCTCCCTTTGTCCCTTGCGCTCTCAACGCCAACACGCGACCGTCACCATTGCTACAATGTGTTTTCGCTTTGCATGTCCAGGCTCTGGCTACAAGCGCAGTCGCGTGCGCACGCGGCTCACACGACCCAAGGAGGTGGCGCGTGGTATTGTTGCGCGCACCCGCGAGACACTTTTGGAACGATTGGCGGGCAATCCGCATGCTGCCAGAGCCTTGTCCTCTGATAGTTTGGCTGCAGCCGGCGAGCCGGAGATGGCCACCCCGTTCCCCACCTCAGACCACGCCCTGCGTCGTGCTTTCTCTTTGGGGGACCTTCAGCCCGAGGCCAGCGAGTTGGCAAAAAATCTGCGGTATGCACTGTCTGTTGTGCACGTATTTGTAGAGCAGTACGCTCTTTGGTTCATCAGCGTTTGTTTCTGGCCACCTATGCTAGAGCCTCGAGTGGGCACGGGTCACCTCGACCGCATTCTGTTCATGGGTTTCGCGTTCTACCGGACGAGCCCCATAATCACCTTTATTCACAGCCCAACAACTACATGCCTTCAGCGGAGGAAGTCCGGACCATGGGTCCGCAGCGCCTCATTGCCAAAATCCAGGAAGAGCAGTCAGCCCAGTTTGGTACGAAAAACGCCTTTTCTCCTTCAGCAATCATTTGTGGGCAAAAGGCAGAAGGTCGACAGCTTGGACGCTGATAAAGCTCACCATCTCATCCCGTGCGCAGCTCTGCGTGCCAAAATGAAATCAACGAGAGAACACATGGCAGACATGGAGGCTGCTCATCTAGAGCTCATGCGCTACAGAAACAGTCAGCCACATGCCAACGAGGAGGGTACGTCAAATGCGATACAAAACGCCGTTCTTGCCCCCCTCCACCTTTCTCAGCAGACTCAACACAACAAGCGGAGCGGGGGGGGGGGCGGGGTTGGTTTGATTTGCCATTTTTTTCATCTCCATTGTTGGTGTGTCTTGTTTTCCTTCTAGGCTCGTTGGATCCCTTGCTCATGTCTACGCTTCGTGTCGAGCGCACCGAGTACACAAATCCGGCCAAACCGCCTAGCGTCTCGGCAGGGTCATTGGGAGGACAATATTTAAAGCACGATGTTCCACGTGGGGCTCATGTCCAAGCCTATATTCAACAAGTATGAACTCGGTGCTGTGTCCCGATTGTGTTGGGGCTCTGTCTCATTTTATTTCACTCAATCTCGCGGCGATGCCGGTCGTATTCCTTCACCCCCTCGTCTTGTACGTGCATCTCAGGGTAAATTGGATCAAGACTTGGACTTTCAGTACAGGAGCACCCACCCTCGGCTCTACGATCGTGAACCGGCGGAGCTGGTCACCATGCGGCCCATGCCGCCACTCTGGTCCCGCTACCAGCACGAGGTTTGTTAGCCAAGCCCCATGCTGGTTTGCTGATAGTTTCCATGCTCTCATTCAAGGCTCGCTGCGATTTGCGTGCTCCCCATTCTCAGCTTGCGCGCCACGACCTTGAACAACTGGATTCTTCCCTCATGAAAACAGCCGAGTTGCGCAAGGTTGTTGATAATTTGGCAGCGTTTCACGGCGTCGACAATCTGCTCGATGCTAAACTTAGTTCTGACCACACTCAAGGGTATGTCATTGACTGCGTAGCCCTCACCTTCATTGCACCGGTTCATCCTGGGACATCTTTTCTTCCCAATCCCTCGACCCGGCCCTGCGTTTGCCCCGGTCTGCACAGTTCCTCGTGACTCTTGCCTCTCATCTGTTGTGTGTACTGCACCCTTAGTGTGGTGCCTCTTGAGGAAAGCGCGGCACTCGAGGCCACTTTACAACCGTGGCGGTAGGTCATCTCATCGTGGATTGCCTGCTGTGACTTCACATCGGTCACATCGTTGTACGTCCTCATCCTGCCTGGGTGTGGCTTTACTTAGATCTGCAACAGCATGGAAGCAAATCAATACATCACTTGTGCCTGTGGCAACAGATTCGATTGCGCCTCCTCCTGTGGTGGCCACTGAGGGATCGACACCCAAGGTCGTGCGAACTTACGCCACTCGGCCCACCAAACCACTTCAAGAATCAACAGTGCCAGAAGTAGCCAAGGCGGCACGCGAATATCGCACCTGGGAGCGTTGGTACGGTTGCATGCTTATCGCATGGGTCAAAAGGAAGGCTGCTCGCTGGCGTGTTGAATTCTCAAGAAGCAATTCCTTTCTGTCTCAAATGCTCGGCTCCTGTATTGTGCTCGTGTGGCAGGTGGTCCACCCATTTTTCGCTCAAAGACTTTACCGAGTTTGCATCGGAGCAGCCACTTGACTTTTTGGACGTTGGATTGGGACTTCGGGTGCCGGACGATAGCGCCAATGTGGACGAGGAGGAGGAGGAAGTGGACGCACAGGCGCTGGCCGAGCTGGCCAAGGCTTCGGAAGAAGTGAGCCAGCGGCAGACCTCTTACCAGCGCGGGCAATGGAACGTCAATTCAGTTTTGGTCCGTACCTGCTCAGTCTTCGTGTGTGTGTGTGTGTGTGTGTGTGTGTGTGTGTGTGTGTGTGTGTGTGTGTGTGTGTGTGTGTGTGTGTGTGTGTGTGTGTTTGCTTTTGCTTTTTGCCGTTGCTGCCATGAATGCAATTGTTTGCTCCGCGAGTACAGTGACAACCGTCCATCTGAACTTCTCTCGGCACGCTTGCAGTTGGTCGGCCTGGGTGGCGAGGCAGCAGATGCAGCTGCCGCCAGTGTTTTGAAGGTGCAGGATCCAGCTGCCACAGAGGAGGCCATCGAAGCCGCCACACATGCTGCTCAGACAGAGTAGGTCGTGATGGGGTTGCCCCGCATGTTTGCGCTCGAAGCACGCGAAGCTTGCCTCTTAGCTAGCTTTGAGTGGGCGGATGCACAGTGAGAATTTGTTGTGACTCTCACACCGGTGTGTGGAGTAGGCGTGCAGAGGCTTACGCGCAGTTGACACAACGACTTGAGGACGTTTGGAAGTCACTTGAATTATCCAACAAGAAACAAATTGCGTTGGCCATCAAGTATTCCACCGGCCATTTCGAGCTCAACGCTAAGTCACGGTAGGGGATGCGTACTTCTAGGCTGCCAGGGATGTCCTCTAGATTTCACCACGGTTGCAAATGCATCGTGTTTTGAAGCGCCCATCATAGAGCTGTTACTTCTTCTATCCTGGACAATCTGACTGGGTTGCCGCTGTTGCTTCGCGTGGTTGAGCTGTGGGAGGCCGTAGCCAAGGCTATTCTCAAGCGTGAGGTCAGTCCAGGTCGAGTTGGCTCAACTGATATGCTGCGAGGGACTGGGCCAAAACTAACATGAATCGGCATCTCAGGAACGCCTGAAAGAGCTCGAGACTTTTGAGAATGCATGCGGGCCAAGCCAGCGCTTGACTGAGGTGAGCCTCGGGTTGATAATTAATCGAAGCTTGAAAGAAGGCAACGGGATGCTTGTCGGCTTGATTCATCGCTCGCAACACCACACTCATCCACCATGTGTCCACACATGTGACAGCTCCGAGGCAAGGAGCGCCTCAGCGAGGCGACGCAAAGGGCACGCTTGATGCGGCAATTGAACAAGGCGACGACGGCTGCGGAAGCACAAATCCGCGCTGTGGAGCGGCAGCTGAAGGAACAAGTGTGTTTTCGAGACCGTGTGTATCGTGACAAGATGAAGAGCGATGTACGCCAACTTTTACATTCGATTGAGCAAGGTGCACGAGCCGAGTCTGCCAGCAGCAATGGGTTAGGGCTACAGGCCATTTCACTGCAACCACATTGATGTGCTATCATAAGCATGCTTGCTGTTGGCGAAATAATCTTTGAACTGGTCCGGCGCGAGTGTGCGAGAAGTGAAAGAAAACAAATGGCGAAAGAAAGAAATTGAACAACGGTATCCTCAAGAAGGAAAAAACAAAAACAAAAAGAGAACTTAATTCACGCAGGCGGCGTCCCAGTGCTGGACTGGTAGGTGGCCCACGCAAAGCCTAGCGTGGCAAAGTGTTGACATGGTGAACCACTTTAAATGGAAGTGAGCAGAGACTGCACGTAGGCCTGGCGGGTAGGGTCGAGAGTGACCGGGTTGGCAAGGTGGGCACGCAGCAGGCCAGATCCAGCATCTGGGTTTTGGTTGTCCTTGTAAATGTAGCCCATGGCGCCATCCACCAGCGCATAGTTGTTGCCCTTGACCCAAGCAATACCAGCATCACTAGAAAGGTAGGTTGAAAGAAAGGGATGTGAGGAAAGGGCCGAGCTGGAGGAAAAGGGGAAACGCAAGAAACGAATGGATACCTGGCAACGGTGGCATGGTCGTTCGTGTGGGCGTTGTACCAAAGCTGAAGAGGGATGGTGCCATCCAGCTGCGCCGAGAACACCTGGCCGTTGTCGTAGCCACTCGTGGTATAACCTGCCGGGGGCTGTTTGGAAAAAGAAAAAAAAAAAAAAGAAAAAAAAAACCAAAAAAACAAAAAAAAAATAAATAAATAAAAAAACAGATCTGTCATTGTTGTGAACGCGCAAGTGCGAAACGGAGGTGAACAAGTCGTACAGTAGAGTTGGTGGTGACCAAGTTATCCTTCTTGGAGTCCTCGCGTTGGTTCCAATAGAGGTAAAGAGGAATGGTGCCAGGGATGCCGTTCTCGGGCAAGTAACCCTCGATGCGGAGCTGCAGGGTTAAGCCAGAACCGAGGTCAGATGCCCAGAACCAGCAGCAGGTGAACGCCAAGGACGCAAAGTTTCAGCATTGAAAACCTGCTCACTCACGCGGGTGTAATAGGTGTTGGATCCTTGGCACTGAAGCGACGTGCACAGGACAGAGTCGGACATGGATCGGTCGAAGAGGCTGTACGCGGCGTTGTCGGGCAGCGGCGAAGGATCCGGCTCGACCGCTGTGTGAGTATAACCCCACAGCAGAAACAACATGAAAAGAAGCAGGGCAGACATGAGTCAACAAACAGTGTCACGTCTCCTCCTGAGGAGCTACAAGATGGCACACACAATATTTTTGGCGCAAACGTACAGCCAGCAATCTCGTCCTGGCTTTCTTTCAAACGCAGCGCCACGTCATTAATAGCGGCGTGGAATTGCTTGATATTGGCCACCGCCAAATACTCGAGAGCATCGGCCGTTGACGCAAGGGACATGAGATGGCCACCGTTGGGATCGTTATTGCCTGGGGTGCTGCGGTCCTCGTCCAAGCAGCGCTTGCCCAGCTGTGCGTGCGAGAAGACGCCGCGCACACCCGACATCAGCTTGTCGTCGACTGTGAAGCACGAGTAGAAAGAGGGGCGCATGTGCGTGAGGACTTGCAGTACATGAAGTGAAGTATCCTTCGAGCAGAAAAACAAAACAAAAACAAAATGACCCCCCACCCCTCCTCCCTTCCAACGTGCGGATTGTGTCACGCGAGGGTTGTGCTTGATTTCCAGCACATGCGCACCTGCATCGAAGGACAACTTGATGGAAAAGGTGGACGAAGTCGACACGCCAGAGACACTGACGACGGCCGCCATCTTGACACCGTCATATGAATAGGTATTTGCGGCTTGGTACTGTTTAAGCGAGCATTGTGGTGAGATATCGGCAAAGGCATGGGCAGAAACAGCAACTACTAGCGTCTTGAACGAATCGGAGCAAGTTCTTCGGGACCCGACTTTGATCAACACTCACGCGGGAGGCACGCAAAAGGTGGCCTTGGCTCGTGGAGGCCGAAGTGATTGGGTTGCCATTGACCAGACGGAAGTTGAGATCACGCTGCGCATTATTGAGGAGGAAAGGGAAGGAAAGAGTTAGTTCAAACGGCCAGGTCACCAGCAAAAACTGACGTAAGTTTGGGTGTACGGCAAGCGCCAGAGCCAACGCAACATACCGTGGCGGGGAATTCCGGATATGATCCCTTGGAGGTGACTGTGATGATGATGCTGGTGGCATCAGGACGAACGTAGGACACGTTGGTCCAGACGTATTGGTTGTTGAGGTAGTTGGTGGTCTTACCATCGTCCTCGTACAACTGTCAAAATGCCAGCGGCAGAGCAGAGGAGCAAGCGTGAACGGAGCGGGAATGTGAACAGCAGTTGATGGTGCAGCGAGGGTTTGGCAGCAAGTGATGCACGCACCATTGTGGAGCCACTGCTGGTGCCAGGGTAAATCTCAAAATCAAGCGCGGTGTATTGGCGTTGAGCCACGCCAATGGTGTCGGTGGTGTCGAATGGGCGCAAGGGGATCTTAGTGCAAAAGCCCCGGCCAAGCCATTGGCAACAATCATGAGGGCCATGTGGGTACAGTCGTAAAAAGAAAAAAAATAAATAAAATAAAATAAAATAAAATAAAATAAAATAAAAGAAAGAAAGACAGACACGAGGCCCGGGGGACAAGACTTGACATACCACGGCGCCAGCCCGGACAAAGACTGGGACTTCGGAGAGATCGTACTTCTTGGTGTACTGGATGCTCTCGCTAAGAGCGATGAGCTTGCCAGTGGGAACCTCGAGCCAGGTACCCTTGGGCAGGAAAATGGTCTTTTCCGTCATTTGGTCATCCCCGGCCGGTGCCACGACAGGAGCAACAAGCATGTCGTCACCGAACATGTACTGGGAGAAGTTGCCATATTGATCCGATGCGTAAGCCAGCTCTTCTTCGGGAAAATCGTAGTACATAGGACGAATGATGGAAACCTGGAATAAATGCACCGAAGAATGACGGGGGTAAGACTGGTGTGAGAGCGGCGCGAAAACGAGAAGACAGAGCCCTGTAATAAACAGACGCGCACACAAGGGGACGAAACGTACGCCAGAGTCATAGGCTTGGCGCACGGCGGTGTAGATGTAAGGGATGAGGCGGCTGCGTGTCTGCAGAGTGTCGCGGTTGATCTCGGCGTACTTGATGGGCGCGTTCCAGGGGCGAACGACGCTGCAGGTGCCTGCATTGGCGCACGCACCCCCGGACATGCCACGCTCGTGGGAGCGGAGAATTGCGGAGAAGGAAGACCACTGGACCCAACGCACAAACATCTCGTAATCGTCCGATGGGCCTTCGGTATCATGGCTCCAGAAGCCGTACTGCATGTTAAAGAAAGACGAACAGGTTGCAATAGGTGAACGCCAAGGGTGCAAGCGGACCATCGTTCAAACAGTCATCAGAAAACAGCAAAAGTGGCACGGATCAGGAGGACGTACGCCAACGTTGGAGGCGGTGGCACTGAAATAAGGTTGATAGGCAAGGTTGTCCCACGAGAGAGCCGCCACATCACCCTAGTGCCCGAGGATTGAAGATTTTTGGCACCGAGAGACGGAACGCGATCAGCTGGAGAGCACACTACAACTGCCACATGGGAACGAGCGGGAGGAAGAGAGAAAAAAGCAACACAAAAAAAACAAACAAAACTCAAACAAAAGTGACGAAGCAAGACAAGCGCTCAGCGAGTGTACGTACGGAGAAGCCAACTTGGTAACGGTGGTTACCCATGCCACCCCAGCGAGCAAGGAGGAAGCCACGCAGATCCGTGTTCTGGCGCTTGGGGTCCGTCACGCGCATCTTGTCGATCCAGATGGTGGGGTTTTGCTTGCCACCGGCGGCACCACCTTGGGTGCCGCCCTGCTGCCAGTCGGGCCACCAGAAGTCAAAGGTGTCCATGTTGAACTGCTTAAGAACAATGTCTTCAAGGTTGTAAAAATACTCCTTGTCCAGGACAGAAAAGTCAATCTCGGTGGTGTTATCCACGTTAAGGCCCATTGCCTTGCACATGTTGACAAAGGAATCCTCCGTGTTGTGCACGCCATCATCATCGTGCTATTGACCAAGGCAGGCATGGGTGAGGACGCACGTCTGGGTTGGTAGCCAAGGAGAGGGGCGATGTTTTGGGCTTAATGAGCGTAGGCGTGTGGTGTGATGTTGGGCGGTCGATGCTTGCCCTACCAGGTTGGCCGCCAGATGCAGGCCTTGGTCATGCATCCAGCCAAAGGTGTCGTTGGGGAAGGGGTAGAGGTGCTTGTCGAAGGTGTAGCCACCCCAGTGGTACCTATGTTGAAATGCGGTGAGCTGATGGGGTGCGGGAAGCCTGGATGCATTGCACGGTTAAGCAACATGACTTATGCTTCGTACTTGCTATGGAAATTCATGTCAGTCACGTAGACATCCAGGGGCATGGCGTGCCAGCGGTACTCGTTGACGACCTTCTTGACGTCGAGGTTGTTGTAATCGAACCAGCGAGTGTACCAGACGCCACTGGCGTAGCGGGGCGTCATTGGGATGCGGCCGCCGACCTCGGTGAAATCAGCCAAGGCACCACGGTAATCATGGCCATGGGCAAAGAGATAGGTATCAATGTCATTGTGGTTCACGCTATCCCACCACTCGGCGCCGGTGGTCAAGCACCTGCAAAGAAAGGTGAGACAAGAAGTATCCCGTTAAATGAGCGGGGTGCACAAACGAGCGGACAGAGCTGCTCCTTAGGTTTACACAACGCACCAGTTAGTGTCGTCCTCCAGTGCGGCCCAGCCATCACGCGACACGACAGCCCACTCGCAGTGAAGGCTCTCCTGTTAGGCCCGGGACAGCGGTCAAGGCGGTCAGGCTAATTTGTCATGGGAAAAAAATTGGCAAACAGGGCGTTTGGATGTGGCACGTACGTCGTGAACGTTGATGTTGGCATTTTCGGTGCAGTTGAGCGAGGTAACACCGAGGAGATCCAGAGACTTGATCCTAGCGGGCGCGGGCGAGTAAAGATGGGTGAGTCAGGCCTTGCTCAGACCCAAGGGTGGTGTAGAACAAACCGTCTGGTGACTTACGTGCCCAAGAGGTTGCCATGATTAGGGGCACCGTAGTACCAGCCCTTGAAGGCACTGGAGCTGTTTGAGGCCGGCTTCACCGAGAGCGTTGAGGCCGAGAAGTTTTGGCCCACCGTGTAGCTGAGGATGACCTCCGCTGTGTGCACGGTCACATGAGTGGCGAGTGACAACGCGCGAGGCAAGGATGGAGGGGCTCTTGTCAGGATGTCAAGACGGAGCGAGCGGCAGGCGCGAGGCGGAGGCGTCAAACCGTACCAGTGGTGATGGTGAGGACACCGTTGGCAGTGCTGGTCGTAAAGGCGGGGACGGAGAGGTTACGCTGGACAATGGCCAAGGTGGGGCGATCCTCAAACTTGGCGTCATTGCTGTACTCCATGCGAATCAGGCGAGGGGTCAAGACGGTGAAGCGAGCCTGGCCTAAGGTAGCAAATTAACAACATGGTGCAGGGCAAGGGTGAGTTGAGGGGTTGAGGGTTGTAGCACGGCAGGGGGGCTGTCCTTGTGTTTGCTTAAGCTTCTCAAGCGTCTCGAGCCAGACAACAAACCAGAGACGACCACGGCCCGTTTATCCGCGACGGGGTTGTAGTTGTGCAGCTCGTATGAGCTGGGGCCGTTGAAGTTGGCCTGGGTGCAAGGGTCGGGGGCGTGAGGGATGCGGCAAAGCGACCAATCTTGCAAAACGAGCAGAAATTGTTTGTGCTAAGCGGCCAAGAGAATTGACGCACCTGAAACTTGTGGTGCGAATTGGCAGCCACAAGCGCCAGGATGGCCAGAAGGGCCACGACAGCGCGGTGCATGTTACCGGTCCAGTCCAGCCCTGATGTTGCAAGTTCAAACGGAAGCCAAAGCGTTCATAAGATGTACGCGTGCGTGTGCAGCCGGCTCGATGCCGCTTCGCCAATGACCAATCTAGAGGTCAACGACCCTGATTCCATACCCCCCTTCCCCAGCCAGGGAGAACCCAGAACGTCATCCCTTTCAGCCATCCAGCGCCGCCCCAGTGAGCAATGACCCTCCCCGCTCGCTCGCTCGCTCGCATGACCCCCTTTGCGACATATTCCAAAAAAACCTGGAGAGCTGCACAGTGCGAGAAAGAAAAAAAAATAAAACAGTGAAACACAACAACACACCACACAACAACACACACACACACGTTGTTCTCCTTCGTTTGCAATCGAAGATTTGTATCTATCACACATGTGTGTGTATGTGTGTGTTTTGCAGTGAGTGAACAAGAGAAAGAACCGCAAGAGAAACAAAAAGATGACATTTTCCTCCAAGAACGCCAGTAAGCTAACGTGCCTTGATTATGACTGTATTGATGTTTGCAAACTGTTTGTTTTGATGCAAAGAGTATTGTCAGATAAAAACGATGTACATTAAGTAGCGTGATGGCTCGGGATTGTCAGCAGTTTTTCTTTTTGACTCGGTGTGAACGTGACGCCGACGGGTCGGCGCTGATGCTGGCGTCGATGCCAGGCCCGAGTTGTGATGATGGCAGCGAGGCTAAGGGGGAGGGCGGGGCGAGGTCTTGAACGGTGGTGCAGAAGGAAATAGGGCGTGGATTCTTGGAGCATATGGCTTAAATGTGTGCTGACGGGCGGGGGCTGGTTGACCGATTGATGCGCCCTCTTTTCGTAGGTGTCCTTCCGCCTATCCAGCTGTCCCACTTGACCGCACGCGGTATGTCGGGGGGCTTCAACGGTATCGGGGAGCTTGGATGGTGTGGCGGCGATGCACGTGTAGGTGGCTGCAATGGCTGTCGCTCATGTCCCTCACCCTGGCCTTTTCCTCCTTGCAACATAGCCTCCAGCCTTTCTTCTTCAACTCGCGAGCCACGGCACACGTATATCCGGGCTCATTTCCGGCTCGGCAAGTCATTTCCGTCAGCTGGTGGCGGTGAGCGCCTGGCCCCGAGCTCTACCGTTGCAACGTCACCATGGCCGACTACGAGGCCTCTTCACCGGTGCATCACAATCACAACAGCATCAACAACAACAACTCTCGAACCCCGTTGCTTGCGTTCGTTGCGTTGCCAGCCCCACCGTGCCTCGCCCATTGCGCCTCGCACACCCGCTCTGTGACAGCCTTGACCTCTGTGATGTGATGTGCAACCTCTGACGATATGCATGCAGGCCTGGTCAAGGCGGCAAGGACTGGCGACCCCAGGTCCACGAAACCTGCCCCACCTGCATGGGAAAAGGCAAAATTCAGCGGGGTAGGCCTTTTGCAACATTGCATGTATCACACAGGGGGTTTGCCCCTCCCTTTTTTTTTGCCATCGCGCCTGGTTCAAGAAATTCACCATGATGTTCCATGACATGCATCCAATGCATCCACCTTTTTCTCTCGCAGATGCCATGAAGCACTCCGAGTTGGTCGCGCTCATTCCCGTGGGCGACAAGCGCCTCAAACCTCGCCGCACGTACGATCTCTTTTTCACCAACGCCTGACACCTCCAAGTGTGCACGTCTCGAATACAAGTTGCTACACGACTCATGCCGTGCGTGCTGGCTGTCGTGCTTGTTCCGGACTTTGTGCCGGCTTGTGCAATGATCACAGGAAGCTAATCATTGCGAGCACCACGCTCTTGACGGCGCTGATTATCGGCATGACCATGTTCTTCCTGTACCCACGCACCGTCGGCATGCGGTGGGTGCTTGCTCCTCGCCCAATTGCCGATTCCAAACTACTGGCTGTGGTTCAAACTTCAAGCTCGGATCCTGCTGGGCTTGTGAAAAAAAAACAAAACAAAACCAAAAAACAAAACAAGAAAAAAACCGAAAAAACGAAAAAAAGTTGTTGGTGCTCGCTGGCTCATGTACCTGTCCGTGGCGCAGTGTTACGGGTGGCACGGCAAACAATTTGACCGTCGTGTGTTTGGACAACCACACCATCGACTATTTCAACATGACGATTGAATGGGACCTCATCGCCGAAAACCAAAACTACCTTGCCGTCTCCTTGAGCCAAGGCTACTTGAGCATGAAAACAGCACACGTGCGCACCAGTCTTGCCCATCTGCGCACAAACCTCGCAGCTCTCAACGCTCGAATTAAACCCTGGTCTTTGCTTGCTTTCAACAGGACGAATCCATGGGTAACATGACCGTCAGCTTTGACGCCATGCCCCACCGAAAGAAGAATTCAGTCAAGCTCGTGGTCAATGCCACCATTGGCGGTGCAGATGCTGTGAAGGTATTCGAACCGAGCTGCGTGTCGGCGACCTCGCGACCTTACAATCGCTTTGCAGTCCAGTTTATGCTCAACGTCACAGCCAAGCTCTTGGACTTTCACGAGTCCATCACCGTGGACACGATCATCTTGGTCGGTTGTCCCATCACTCAAGCTCCACTGGGTCCTGCTAGCACCCTTCCGCTCAACACCACAACAGTGGCACCCACCACAAGCACCAACACCGACACCAACGTCACCTCAACACCCAGCACGACCCCCCACTGGTGGCGTCGGGAAGCTCATTTGACCACGCCCGAGCCCATGGCTGCTGAGCAGGACGAAGCCGTGACCTACGCCGTGGTGTTGGCACAAACCCTCCCTCAAGTCGGCCACAGCTCTGCGGACATGTGGTTCTTTGATACAGATCAGGCCCCGTGCTTGGAACTCTAGATCTATTTTAGTTTTGTATCTGGGCGTGAGCGGCACTGAGAGTTGCCTCAGTGGGCCTGAGGCCCGCACGCTCGCCTGAGGCCTTGTGTGCATGTGTGCATGTGATCTGGGTAACAACTTGCACCGCTCAACTCTCTCTACCTCCTCCGGCTGGTCTCCTTTGCATCTCGAGGAGAAATGTCACCACCAGCAAACAGCAAATTGATGTTGATATGTTATACAGATGAAGACGACAACGGGTGAAATGTGTCAGTCAATTAGCTTGGACGTCCATAAACTCCCGAGGCGTTCGAGAGCTCTTGACCCCATTTACTCGCCCGAAAACATCTCGTCCAGACTGGTCTGATATTGCAAATTGCGGATCTGCTCTTCGATATCCGCCAAAGCGGCCTGCGTCTGTTGGAGCGAAAGTGGCAATCAGGGTCCATCGCGATGTGAGTGGTGCGCTTCAATAGCCAAACAAGTGAGATCGCCTGTCATCGTTTGGCTCTGGGCCGCACCTGTGAGTCAATCTGCGTGGCTCCTGCGATGCGCTGCATGAGTTGCTCTCGATCATGCTCCAGTTGCCCGAGACGTGCGACGCTGTTGTCGTTCTCCTGCATTAAGCTTTCCCATCTGACAAAGTTGGCGGAGCAGCGGTGAAAAGATTGCGAGGCGAGCCTCATCAACGCGCACACCAAGGAATATGCACTATAGTGCAGACTCTTACAGAGGATCCAACTCAACCGAGTCCAGGTCCAGCTGCAGGTTTTGCAAGCCTATCAAACAAGAGAAAGGCAGGGAGTGAGAATAGGAGGAGAAAAAAAAAAAGCCAAGACAGCAAGGTTTTGGGCGGCGGTCGGGTGCAGATGAAATAGAGCGAGCATGCACGTGGAATGACACAAACCTGCTGCAGCACCAGCTGCCTGATCCTCGGTTCCAGTGCCAGACATCATATCAGAAAGGCCATCAAGGTCACCCAAGGGCTCAACCTCGAGCTGAGGCCCGGGTCCGCCAACCACTGCATCAGAGGCCATGTTTATGAGCAGAGATCATCTGAAGACAAAGCCAGCATTGAGCAGCCGCCTTGGACAAACTGGTACCTGGCGTTCGTAGCTCAAGATCTGCAATGTCGTTTTCTTGGTCATCCGAATTGATTTCCTGCTTGTCATTCAGTCACGCAGCCAGCCGTGAGATGTGCCGGTCAACATTCTTAGCATACAGGACAATCGTCGCGTATTCGAGCTCAAAGGGAAAACGACTCGGTTTGTAACATGCGAACTGTGTGGCCAACAGTGAAGGCAGAGTTGAGCGTCAGACTAGGTACGTACGGCAGCAAAGCAGGCTTGCCACTCGGGTAGCGTGAAGGGGCGAGATTCAAAGCTGCGGTCTATCGGTGTGCGGGTTGGCTCATCTTGGGGATCATGATAGCTGGCAAAGTAGGGGTGTGTCTACGGGGGCGCAGTCGTGAGCCTAAAGGCTTGGTGGTGGTGGTGGTGGTGGTGGTCCTAGCAAGTGCAAGTGCAGGCAGGGCGTGGGCGAGGACAGACCAGGGCGGTTGGGGCTGAGAGCCGCACAAAAGGATCAAAGCTGAGCAGGCCGTTGAGCAGTGACTTGGCATGCATGTCCCCACACGCCTCAAAGTAGGACCAGATGGTTGAGGTTTGGCCTTCCAGCTCTTTCACCTAAACAAAAGGCGACCCAAACGTGACGGTGAGCACCGGCTGCCGGTGTCGAGTCGCCATAGCTTGACCGTCATGGCTGGGGTGACAGCCTTGACACAGAATGGGCTGACCTTGGACTCGATAAACATGCGAAGGGTGGCGTCTGAAATGGTGTGGAGGACCGACGGGGGCGGTGGTCCCAGCACTTTGATGATGCTGACCAGGTGATCAACGTGTGAGTCTGCCGGGAAGAGGGCGTAGCAGGGAAACTCGTTGCCGTTGTCGTCGCGAAAGGTTTTGGTGACGTTGCCTTGAATGCAGTTCAAGATTTCGCCCAAAATGCAACCAGCTGTGGACATTCATATCCCTAATGTGAGGGGAAACAGGCAAGAACATCTGGTCGATGCAATTTTGAGGCTGAATAGATTGCGCTCTTGCGTACCACTCCACATGTCGAGGGCAGTTGAGTAGGCTTGCCAAGTGAAGAGGACTTCGGGCGCTCGATAGTACCTAGCCGAGCGATTTGTGCCATGGTGCCAGGCGTGAGTACGCGGGTGACTGGGCTACTGGCGCGCCCGCATGTTGATCCGTTTTCTTCAATGGGGCCCGTGCGTGAAAATTCAAACCGGGTTGTGACGTAGCCTGTCTTTTGGCCGTTGGGCTCCATGGGGCGGGCCAGGTTGAAGTTGGTGATCTTGGCCGTCAAGTTCTATCAAAATCCAGCAATGAGTACCCAACGTGGCGACGAAAGAAAACAAGAATTGGAGATCAAAAAAAGGAGGCAGGGCGGGGCTTTGCGCGTGACGGGCTGGGCATACCGTGTCGAGAATGATGTTGCTGGGCGTGATATCACGGTGAATGACACCGGCAGAGTGAATGTATTTGAGACCACGCAGGACGCCGTACATGATGTAGCTCACGTGTGCGGGGTCCCAGTTCCATCGGGGCGTGAGCAGCCGCGCCAACTCCGTGTCCTTTAAGAAGCGGGCCCAGGGCGATCCCGGGGACACATGAGCGGCGTGGGGCACGCATCAAGCAGAAAAGGCAGGGATGGGGTGAATGCAGACCTCTTGTTGGGTCACGAGGTAGAGGTCTCCTTGTGGTGAGGCAAAGAGGTCAATTAGCAAGACCACATTTTCGTGTTTGAGCTGCACGTCAGATCAAGCAGGAGGATGAGCAAGCCATGAAGGACAAAGCGCACCACGAGCTGAGCTTGGGTCGGAATGGGCTTTGGCGGCGGGGCGGACCTTTTTGAGCAAGATCAATTCGCGATAGACTTGCAGGGCGCTGAACTCGTCTTTGAAGACGTATTCTTTGGCATAGCGCTTGATGGTGGCGGTCTGTGGAATGGCGGATAGGCGCGAGCGCAGCAGGACAGCGGTGAATTCTTAGGATGGCAAGTCAAAGAGAGGGGCATGGGCGTAACGGCTGTACATTGCGTTCGCGGCGATTGATAAAGAAAGAGCCAACTCGAGGCACATCAGGCTTGATGGTGGCATTAGCCAGTTGTCTGCACAGGTGAAATGTGAGGCCATGTTAGCGCAGGAGCCAGCACAAGGCCCGATAACAAAGGGGTGGCGCTGAGGGAGAAAGAGAGCGCGCGCGCCCGACGAGGCGTCGCTTGGACATACACAAGGGAGGAGGAGGGAAGCACGGTGTGAACGTGGTAGCATTGGGGGAGATGAAACCCGTTGGGCCATTCCAAAAAGGTTTCCAGATCGGAGGAGCTCATGGCATCGATGATGCCAAGAGCAGGACAACCGGCCGCTCTCTCTAGTGGGGCCTTGGAAAGGCAATGAAATCGAGGTATCGGGCTGCAAAGCAGGCTAATGCCAATCGCAAATCGATCGGCTTGCGACTGGCTTGACTCGACTTGCTCAGTGCTGGGTCTTTGGTAATCGACGTCCGCCTCGTTTTCTCAAGCCTCAACCAAGCTCTTTTCCCTCCAGCGGCCCGCACCGCTCCGAGAAGCGCGAGAAGCGCGAGAAGCGTGAGAAGCGCGCGAGAGACGAGAGACAGAGAGAGGGAGAGAGAGAGAGAGCGCGCGGGAGACAGCGAGCAGAAAAAGAAACAACAACCAGTGTCAAGTCCAATTTAAAATAACAAAACATGATTTTAAAAATACAAGGACTTCACATGGTAACGCTACGTATGCTCGAAGGCATGAATTTTCTGACATCACGACCTGAGCAAAGGACTTGACGCTTGCCTTGAAATTATGACCACACATCTCAATTCTTGGAGAAAGCAATGGAGCCATGGAGCGATGGATGGAGCAAGCGCAAGAGCCGGCAGGGACGCGGGCAGGGGGGATTGGCTGATCTGGAGAGGAGAGGGAAGAGGCAGTGCCGTGCACTGCGCCTGGCACTGCGCCTGGTTGAAGCAACAGCCAAGGATAAACAAGCGAATAGGGTGGGCAAGACGTTTTGGCCTGTCAGAGCAATGACTCTCATAGTAACATGTCCGTGGCGACCATCCAAAAAGGGCAGCAGGCAGACTTGGCGTAAACCAGAATTCTACCCAAACGAGATGCTACAGATGCTCCAAAAATTGGAGATTGCTGAGCCGTCATCCGCCCTGACGTTCTTGACGGGAGCCGCCGCCATGTCTCAGGGCTCCAGCCTCAGCAGCGGGCGCACACAGTCACGTGTTGTAACACACTTGTGCTGGATTGCGTATGGAGACGTTCTGTCTACTTGACCATGCAGTCATTAGGAAATTCCTCCGCGTTTATGATTAAATTTCTTTGAAACGTGTTCTTACACGCCTTTTGGCAGTCGCCATCCGTTTGAGTTCCCCAGCAAGCCAAAACTGTACCGGGCACATACACACACACACACACACACACACACTCACTCACTCACTCACTCACTGCAATGCACGGCCCTCTCCATGCTCCTGAAGCCATCCCTGACGGCCCAAAGCCGACCACCACCCCGTAGCCAACCGTCACAAAAACGGCAACAACGAGCAATAAAAGAAAAAAAAGGAAGGAAAGAAGAGAAGAGAAAACATCTGACACGTGTGTGTGTGTGTGTGTGTGTGTGTGTGTGTGTGTGTGTGTGTGGAGGAAGCGCGCGCGCTATTTCAGTCGTTCGCGCGATTTTTTAGATCATCCATCCACCTGGTCTGTCTGGTCGGTGTGGAGCAGGTGGCATTTTTCTCGTCGCCTGGTTCCTCTTGCGTTGATTGTTGGTTTTACTTGTGACCCTCGCGTTCTTCGCCCTCCTCCTTCCCCCTTTCCCGGCTCGCTGGGGCTCATTCCTACTACCACCAAGTGGCGCAGTGCAGCAAAAGTCGTCGGTCCTGCTTCTTGTCTGGTGACAGGACACTCTTTTGTGTGTGTGTGTGTGTGTGTGTGCTGGTACGCACAGCTCTCGTAGCTCTCGTGAGCAGCAGCCGGGCCGACAAGACACCGCCGTCATGTTGAAGGAAAAAACCATTGACGATGACGTGCGCTACCTTGGCTTTGTGCATGCCGACACCAACGACGTTGACATTCTTCCAGGCGATGAACACATTCTGGGCGCCCACATTATGCTGCGCACCCCCTCCCAGATCCCCTCTCCACAGAGCTCTGCTGCTGCCTCTCGTTCCACTTCACGCCCTTCCTCCCGCAGCGGCTCGCGACACACGAGCCCCAGCCGCTCCAGCTCTGCCTCCTCCCGCCGCACGTCTCCGGAACGCAACGCGCCCGCCACCACGTGGGGCTGGGATAGGCCCGTCCAACTCAAGGCCACCGCCACCGCCCTCGTCCTCCACGAGGCCAGCGATGTCCTCTTGGCTTTTGAACTAGCCGAGGTTGTCCTCGTTCGAAACGTGGACAACAACCTCTACCTCATTCTCGCCCGCAGCTCCGTCTTTCCAGGCCAATATGCCTGCCACGGCCTCAAACTGCGCGATCGCAAAACCGCCCGCCACGTGGCCCGCATGATCAAAAAGTTTCGCGTCAAAGCCCGGCCACGCGCCTCCATATTTCAACGCCTTCGCCGTTCCTCCCGCCGTGTGCAGGAAGCTGCCGCGCTTCGTCGCCGTCGCCAATCTAAGAACCGCTTTAGTCAATATCATGAGGAGGAAGCCGAGAGTCCCTATGACCTGCGTACCCTTGCCGCCCTGGCTGAATCTGACCCCACCGCCGCCGTCACCGCCCCCCTGGCCCCTCTGGCCCCCCTGGCGGGTCCGGCTACCACCACCCAAAAACGCGTCTGGGATGGTCCAGCCCTCGAGGCCAACGACCTTCCCCCTCTTCCACCACCCCCAGGCCCTCGTCGTCGCCCCATCAAGCCCGCCGACCCTGCTGACCCCTCACTCGCTGACTCTGATGACAGTGACAGCAGTAATGTTGAAGGTCAGCAGGGATCGCCCGTGGGCCTTTCCCTCATGCGAGCACGCCAAATGGACTTGAGTCGTAGCTTTGATGACCTCTCCCTCGCTGTGAGCATGAAACGACCCGGGGGTTCCGTCACCCGCCCCGTTCGCTTTGGTGCGGACGCAGGGGTGAGCAAGTATCGAAACATGGAGGTGTCTTTTGCCAACCTTCTGGCTTCGGAGACCCCGCTGTCCACGGCCGAGCCATCCCCGGCCATCTCCGCCGTCGTCAGCGATGACGAGGAGGACGAGGAGGACGAGGATGGATTTGGTGGCCGCGGCAAGGTGCCCTACGCGGGCGCTCGCGGTGCCTTTGGGATGGCCGATCCCTATGCCGCTGCTGGCTATGGTTTTGTCAACGAGAGCGATGGTTTGGACCTCATGGGGCCGAGCACGCCCACCAATGCCACCGCGCCTTTTACCCTTCGAGACCGCTCAGAGACCATTGTGAGCCCCGGTGAGCCACCTCGTCGGTCCAGTTCAGGCAGTCAGCTTGCGCGCAGCAGCTCGGTCAATTCGGGTCATGCCGCCGACCTGGCCCGAGAGCGGTTGCACACCCCGGTAGATCGCAAACGCGGCTCCTTCTTCCTGGACCCGTTCACGGAAGACGCCGGATTGGCCGCCATGCGCAGCGCCCGCCCCGGCACCTATGCGCTCCGCCCTTCGGACAGCGGTGAGACGGATGAGTGGCTTCTGCTCATCATTCCGCCCGAGGATGACCTCGTGGAGGTGGAGGTGCAAGAATTGGCCGACGGTCGCTTTGAGCTGGTTTCCACAGGCGTTCGTTGTGACACCATTGCCCAACTAGTCAATTATTACTGGCGCAGCCATTTCCAGAACAATATCATACCCTGCTCCCCTCTGGCGGGCGTGACAGCCTAAGCCGACTCTATACAATGGGGCGTTGCATTATTAGCTTTGACCTTTGTGTTGGTCCTCGAGGACCCCTTGCATGCGGTTCAGTGAGTGTTTGCTGCTTGGCTGCTTCTTGGCCAATCGTGCTGCGCACGTTCTGGTGCTCTCAAACGAGAGTGGCAGCAAAACAAGAGTCAGCAGACCGGTGTACATCTTTTTGTGATTTGTGTAGAAAAATGTATCGGTTGAGCATCGACAAGTCGGCGCTGGAGTTGAGTGCCTTTCTTCTGAATAATTATACATCGTTCCAGCTTTTGTGCGAATGTGTTGTGGGCACACGTAACATGTGCGAATGTGTTGTGTGCCCACCTGTTTTCGCCCATTTTGTCTTGAGAGCCCAAATTGTATTCGAGAACAAAGTCAAATACGTTTGTCTTGGGCTGGTTCGGAGCGCCAGTCCCCAGTCACCTGCACACTCACTGCACTACTACGGGTGATGGAAACGGATGCCTTGGGAGCCGGTTGCCTGAACGTTGACTGAGTTCGTATAGGCTTTGATTTACTAAATGATGCCTGATCCACCAATACACGAAACAGCGCATCACGCCATCATGTCACCACGAAACATAGCGAGATGGAACAGCGAGAGCAAAAGAGAGGTAGGACGAGACACGCATTGGAGCCATTACACGTGACCAAAATAACCAGAAAGGAAAAGAAAGAAAGAAAGAAAGAAGAAAAGCGAACGAAAAACACAAACTGGATGTGCGCAGAATACGATCGAGTCAGACTGTGTGCCAAAACCTTTACTCTTCGGGCAATTCATCGATCAAACGCAGCGCAGCCTCGATATCAGCTTGCTGAGAGCGGCGTGCTTGCTTGCGTTTCTCTGACATGCGCTTGAGTCGCTCTCGACGTTGCTGCTCTGCATCTGCTTCGGTAGTTTCCGAGGCAGATTCGGGCGCCGGGGCCACAGGCTCGGGTACAGGTCCGGGCGCCGGGGCCTCGGGCTCGGAAACGGGTTCGGGCGCCGGGGCCGCGGGCTCGACGGCAATATTGGCATCAGGCTCGGCATTGGTTGATTCTGCAGCGGGTTCGGAAGGGCCAACAGGTTGTGCTGGAGCTTCACTTGCTGGGACGGGGGCGGATGACACAGGCCCAGCTGTTTCGATGGTGGTAGGCGCAAGCAACTGTGACTTTTTTGACTTGACGCGGCGCAAGACCTTGACGTTAATGTCACCCGAGGCCTAAAAACAACCGCACACATGCGCGCAAACACACCGAAGAATCAAATTAAAATAAGCTTCCAATGCAAACGCCACAGCATGTGATAAGGAGTGGGCACGGCATACTAACCTGTCGGATCAGCTCAGCGGCCTTGGCATGGGACACGTTCCGAAGCGAGTGGCCTCCAAATTCAACCAGCACATCCCCCTTGCTCAGGACATTTTGGGCAGCGGCGGTGCCGTCGGGAGCGACGTTGATAATGAAAATTTCTCGCTTCAGGGGATCGGGCGAGTCGATGCCACCGGCGATGGAAACGCCCAAGGCCTGATCGGGTTGCTTTCGAATGACGACTTCTTGCAACACACGCATCTTAACCTTGCGCTGCTTCATCTTCATGCCTTCTCGCAGTTGGAGCACCTGTTGTCATTGCCCCGCATGACATGGATGGAAGGAGCAAGGCATGTGCAAAAATGATCAGGCAACACACACACACACACACACACACACACACACACACACACACACACACGCACACACACACACACACACGCACAATGTCCGTGCATGGCACTGCCCGACAGACGTACCCAATCCTTCACGTCAGCTTCATTGCCGCGAAACGTATACTGCCGCGACGGCGTCGAGAGAAGCAATTCGGTGCCATTGCTTTGAGCTTCGGCAATGCAGCCCGTGGACAAGTCAATACGCTCCTCGACATCGTCTGTCTGTTGTGTGAGAACGATTGAAACACGTGTGGTCGGATGAGCCTTTTGCTGCATCGGAACAATGAGCAGTGACGCGCATGTAATGCTACCAGCGCCTTTATCAAGCTCACCTCGGGAACGGAGAGGACAAGAATACACCCTTGGAGGGTGCAAGTGCGCAAGGCCCATTTCTTGCGACCAAAGTTGGCCTTTTCTCTCAGCTCCAAAACACCTGTGAGCAGCAAAGGAGGGGGGGGGGGGAAGAGGCGAGTGAGGTGAGCCACGGCCCCTGGCATGTTGTACAGGGGTAGAAGCATGTTTTACCTTGCTTAGAGATGGGGTCATCAGGCACCACAATGTCACCCATGTCAATCAGGTGCACTGGATTGTCTTCGGCGGGGGCAGCAGCAAAGACGTCGTTGGTGTCCAAATCTGCCCGACTCGCTTCGTCGCCGTGTGCAGTTAGCTAACGTGGGCGTAGGAACAGTGTAAGCCCCTTGCAAATCGGCAACGTACACATGTACAATCGCCAAGTGGTTCAAGCGCCAGGCACGTACCGGAGGGGAAACAGCGCCGTCAAAAAGAGGATTGTGTTTGACGGGCGCAGTCTCAATACTGCGGGCAAAGCTGTGGTCGGGAGAAAAGTTGGCGAGATCAACGGGTTTGAAGGAGGTCTTGCGCACAAAGGCGGGGGCGAAAGAACGCTCAAGCTTGAGCTCGCTGCCTGAAGTCTCCTCCTTTACGACCCCCTTGCCAATACTGAAGCGCTTAGCCTTTGGTTTCCGGACTGAGCGAGGTTTGCGGGCGGGTTGGTCAAGAGAATTGCCCAGGTAGGAGGTATCAGCGCCACTCATTGCCGCACATGCCCCGGCAACGTGGGTGAGCCAGCCGAGCGCGTGATCCGGTCGTTGCGAAATAAACAGCAAAGACCTAAACCGAGCGCGCGCTCAGCAAGGCTGTCGGAGGATATCCCCGATGACAGGCAGAGGCGTCCCGGTGACGATCCAACGGTCCTCTCCGGAATCTAGGGGGTTGGATGCAAATAAAAGGTAGTGTGTGGCATGAATAATCTCGCGCATTCTCAACACTCGGCCCAAAGCACGGGGCTCAACTGGAGACGGGTTGGAGGCGAACAGAAAAAAGGGGCAGAAGCCAAAAATGCCAGATAGTCGGGCCGAAACGATTTGCAAAGACAAGAACCACTCGCGTGGCCTGAGGCAAAGCCTTTCAGCTTGAGCGCCGGCAGAAGATACAAGCCATTCCGATGCGGGCCTCTTTGACTGCCGAGCGAGAGGCCGGAGTGCAACCGCTTACCAGCAGGAAGTCGATGTGCCAGCTGCTGTTTGCTCCGAGCAAAGAAGCACGTTCTAAAACGAACCACGTTCAGGGTCTGAAAGCCAGACAGCCGTTCCCGCCGCAAAGGACAAGACCACCTCAAAGCTACCGTCCTAGATCGACGTGGGAATCTCCTCAAAAGCAACCGTGCATGCAGATATATGCCCAGATCAACCAACCGCTGCTCCCGTCCTGCTCGTCGACTGGTCTAGCAGAGCTCCACCAAATGCCACACACACGTCTCTCTCTCTCTCTCTCTCTCTTTCATCTCTTTATCTGTCTCTCATCTCTTTCTCTCTGAATACGCCCACACACAAACAAACACACACACAATGGAGGAGGAACCAAAGCACAGACACATCACACTTTATCACACTATGAGCATACCTACCGGTCAGACCATGACACACTTTATCTGGTAGTGTGAGTCTGTGTAGGGACCAGGAGACTCAGCTCATGCTGATAATTCACGTGAAGGATTTGTCAGAAACTTGTGACGAGCGGGATGGCGACGACAACCACGACGACCACGAGGAGTGGCGGGCGGTCATGTGTCTGGGCTCGGCTGATCACCCAGCCCACGGAGGCGCCCGTAGAGGAGGAGAGTGCTCTGGAAGCCTTGGATCGGTACATAGTACGTGCAATGTCGCCCCGCATCAACGCTTACCCAGTGCCGCTGGATCGTGATCGTTCTGCTCCTACGCCAGGCTCGGCCAGCTTCTCTGCGGTGACTAACTTGCCGCGCATCGTGAAATGCAGCATCGGCCCCACTTGATCAATAGAAGAATTGGTGGGACTGAAACGCGATACAGTGCCAACTCGCTGTCTCCCAGCCAGGTCGTTGAGAAGTTGCGTGCCGCCGATCCCGAAGCCGGCGTTCCCGAAAACTTTGCAGCGCTCCTCGAATTGCGGCGGTCCTGTGACCTGGTGGTCGTGCACCACGAATTACGTGCCACCACTGCCACCAATCCCCTGTCTAGCTATTGTGAAGCTCTGGTTCTTGATGCTGCCTCGCAGCGAGCCTGGCTTTGCCCGCTCTCCAATCACCCAGCTACCTTGTACGTCGCTGCATCTTGTGCACCAACCCTGACGCCAGCTGGCCCTCAATATATATGCGTATCGTAGTGCTTGTGTACGCTTGACTTGGGGGAAAAGTACAGCAGAGGGCCAAACAGCTGATGCTCGCGGTGCGGTGACATATGAGGTCCTCCTGGACTCTGAAGCCGCCGAACCTGCCCGTCCCTGTGGCTCACCGCCTTACACGCTTCTGGTATGCGTCAGCCTAAATACATCTTTGGCGTGAAAGGCTCGGCGCCGTTGTGTCAGTGGACGGCATGCTCAGCCCCGTCCTTGTTTAATAGGCGCAAGCAGACGTCGAAGCACCAACCTTTCCATCCTCCCACTGGTTTCTTACCAAGTTTGTGCCCAAGTTCACCTCTTGGCTGGCAGCCGCCGATGGTAAGCCAAATGGTGTGGGCGTCAGCCCTCCCGGTTCAGTCTGCAAGCCTTGATGAGAGCATGAAAATATGGACATGAAATTTGTTTGACCTGTGTGTCAGGCCCGGCCTCTGAGCTCTCGCGCTGGCGCCCAACCCCTGAAACGATGCTCGTGCCGCCTGCTGAATACGCTCGCCTGTATCGCGAGCTTCGCGATAAATATGGGCCCGCCCTAGTCGAGGTTGGCATGCCATGCACACACATGTTGGCCTCCAGTATGGCGCTGTCAACATGGATTGCATTACCCTGCTTTTCTTTTGTTTCGGGCTCCTTCCTCTCCCTCCTAGAGCTGGACAGAGTCCACAGATCCGGAAAAGTTTGTATACGAGGATATTGGCATTGCAACCTTTCTCATCTTGCTCTTTCGACGTGTCGCCGAGCTCGAGGCGGAGCAGGGTCAAGCTCCCGCAAACTTTACCTACAAGTTTGTTGATCTCGGTACGATCATTCTCCTTGCTATGAATGCTAGTGCGTGCAAAGTAGCGCAGAGTAGGGGACAGTGCCGTGTGCTTGTGGCACTGATGCGGGCTTATCATGCTCCACTAGGGTGTGGGAACGGGTTGCTCTGTTGGCTTTTGGCTCAAGAAGGCTTTCGAGGTTAGTTCGGCTACCGGCCTCATGAGAGACAGCAGCGCGGAGTTGGCCTTCATGGCGGGCTCTTGTATTAGGTCTGGGCTTGGATCTGCAACGGCGACGAATCTGGGATCGCTTTGATGCTGATGTTGAGCTCCTGGAAACGGCCGTCGATCCCAAGTACGTACAGTTGGCAGCCGTGCGATCGCACTCGTGATGGATGGGGTTGACTTTTGCCTTGCCCATGACCGTGAATGGCGTTGTTTTGGGTCCAGATATGGTTTGACCTACCCAAGCTGCGAGTGGATTCTGGGCAATCACAGCGACGAGCTCACACCCTGGATCCCCCTCGTTGCGGCAAGCAGCACACCACAGGTATGGGGACCTGCCCTGTTTACCCTGTGTTCTTGTTTGTTTGTTTTTTCCATTGCACTCACAGTGGGCCCGGTCATAATACTTTGGAGCTGACCGATTTTACACGCGACTCATCTTGACCGACGCGCTGGCACTTTGACAGACCAAATTTTGGGTTCTGCCTTGTTGTCCTTTTGTGTTGAATGGGACGCGGTTTTCACGGCACCAGCGCGAATCTAGCGGTGAAGGTCATGATGCTGGGGCCTCGAGTACCTACAGCGGCTACCTGCGCTATGTGGTTGATTTGGCGGCCCAGTGTGGCTTTGCAGTGGCCTCGGATGTTCTGCGCATCCCGAGTACCCGCCGAACTTGCCTGGTGCGTTTTGGGGCAGGCATGCAGCTCCCAGGTGCTGAAAGAGCGTTTCTTGTTTGTCAATGATGATGATACACATGTCGTGTGGGCTTCTAGATGGGCTGGCAGCGAACGGCAGAAGACTGTCGACAAGCAGTGAGTTTTGGCACACACACTGCAGTTTGCTGCCCTTGAGGCACTGCTCATTACAAAGGGACTCTCACGGTGAATACGGTTGGGTGCATGTTCAGCGCATCGATCTAGCCTCACAAGGGCGCACGTTCCAGCCCCGCGTCGAGTGAGTGCGGTGGGGCCTTGGCCGAGGCCAGCTGGCAGTTTGGATGCATGGGTCATTTCCGGCGTTCGCTCAAGGCTAATGCAAAAAAAAACTTCCTTCTTCGTGTACTGGTGTAGAGTGCAGCGGCCCAATAATTGTCGGCAAGTGGCGGCCTCAATTCAAGAAGACATTGTGCAAAGGGTTTTGGCGCTGCTTCTCGCGCAAGACCCTGACAAAGGGGCGACCTTACCTTCTGGCGCCACCTATCATCTCGGTGGTGAGTGTGTGGTGTAAAGCCAGAGGGCTACCTTCCATTGTTGGCTCTCTTTTTTTTCTTTGTTTGGTCTTGTTTAGCAGGCAGCTGCTTTGAGAGAAAGAAGCATAGGGGGCACATGCGGAACGGTTGTGACTGGTGTCAATACCGGGTCTTTTTCTTCTGCTGCTTGAAAAGCTCAATGGCGGTGTCACAATGAATCCCACAGGACAAGTCTCAATTGGTCAGGTGGTGGACCATCTGGGGAAGCCGATTCTGGCAGCGCTCAAGGCTGAATGTGGGGGGCTGCAGACTTTGCTCAAGCTCCATGGCCAGCTCTTTTTCGGTGAGTGCGGTGGGGCTTGAGTGGTGGGGCTCGGGGCAACGATACTGGCCAGTGTGCGACGTGTTTGGGTCTAACTGATACTTGCGCGCTTGGGTGTCTAGTGCGAGGCGGCAACGTGTCAATCCGGAACTGGGCCAGCGTGGAGAGCGGGCACCACCCCAAAAACATCAAAACACGCCCCTGTCTCTGCCTGCGCTACCATCCCGGTCGGTGCATCGCGTCATCGCATCGTCGGCAGAAGGGTGCCAGGTTGCTTGATCTCATCCCGCACGACATGTGCTCTCATCCTGAATGTGACATGGGATTGCCATTAAGATGGTTGCCCTCGGCCAACGTGGGCGTGCCCCTTTGCACATGCCACCGTGGAGACGGCAGCAGACTACGATGCCACCCGCCCCTGGCCTTGACTCGGAGCTCCAGTCGCCGGCTCTTCCGATTCCATGTGCTGTTCCAGTCGACGAGAGGTCAAGAAGAATTGAAGTCTGTGTTCTTGGGTGTTGTGGCCAACCATCCAGTTTGTTGACAAGAGCGCCACCGGGTGATACTGGGGGCGGGTTGCTGAGGGGGTTGACCAATCTAGCGACCAATCATCAACAAGCAGCGCATCAGGCCACAAGTGAGGCGTATGGGTCGGTCAAACAAGACGAACCAGAAAGGGGGCCTTGTCTCGTTGGGACATTGGTTATGACGGATTTACCACCCACAACATCAGCATCAGAACATCAGCCTCAGCCGGCAAGAAACAGGCTTCAAGCTCGTCCTAGACTTGTCCAAATCTCTCGAGCGGAGTGAGAAGAATTATCCCTACTACACATGGAAACGAGGAGGGAAGGGCCAGGGCGTGCTTGCAACGATATGGACCCGTCACGATCCAAAATCACGTCGTGCATGGACGCTAGTCCTCCGAAGAGTGTCTTATGTTGTGTGTGGAGTATGAGTATACGCCTGCATGTTGCATGTTGCATGCCAGCCATTCCTCAGCTTGCTTGCTTGTGCAGGCGTCAGGCATTGTCAAGTTGACAAAGCACAACACAAGACCAAGCGCGAGTCCCATACCCATCATCACATCCCGAGGGGTCCCGCCCACCCAAAAAGCCGCTCGCGCGCCGCCCCGCCTTGAGTTACATGTGCAGCACCCAAAGCAGTACAGAAGCAACAAACAAACAAGCAGGGGCTTGAGTCTCCTTGTCTCCTTGTCTCTCAGCGCCTTGCCTTGCCAGCTTACGGGCTTACCGCCATCGCCATCACCATCAGCAACTGTACGAGCGTACCACTCGCTGGCTTTGAAAGGGCGCCGATCGTGGTGACGACGGCGATGGATAAGTTCCTGGGTTTCTCCTTGTCCCAACCATCGAGTTGCGAGTCATGCTCGACGCGTTTCGCGCCCAGCGACCCTCTCGTCCACCCCGCGCCCGCTCACCCGCCCAAAGTGACGTGACCCTCTCCCATTTCATTTTCACCATGGGATGACGACCAAATCTCACGACAACGACGATTGATGTGCTCGAGAGTGAAAAAATCTCGCAATTTCCTCTTGACGGCTGGCCCGTACACACACTGCCCGCCCCCCCCACCACACACACCAGACGCTTCTTCGATTCGACTTGCACCGCTGAAACCTCCCCCTCTCGCATGCAAGCGTTGTTCTTTTGAATCACAGTGGTGGTCCCTGCTGCCGTTTTGTTTTTCTCCTTTTTTTTTTGTTGTTGGGTGACCCCAACTCGCGTTGCAATCTACCTTGGCCCTGCCTTGTGCGCCAGTCAAGTCGGCGCCCCGTGAACACGCTCTTGAACGGTTGCACACTTTTGCTGCCTCCTTGGTGGTGTGCGTCCGGCCTCCCCTTTTTGTTTGTCATTCTACGACCGCGCCGCCATTGCGCTGGATTGCTGCCATTTTGGCGGGCGGTGCCCTGTCTTCATTGACGATACCCCTTCCGTTTCCCGACGCCCACCTGGGGCCCAGGCTCTGAGCCGTTGAAGAGGCTGCGTGCACGCCGCCGCATCCACCGTCGCCATGGATAAGCGAGACATTCAAATGCTGATTTATCAGTCAACCGGCAAGAGTGCCTCCGACTCGGCCAGCCCCAAATCCTCAAAGACAGGTCCGTGCTTTCTCCCGGCTCGGCACATGCCATGGCGTCATCCATGTCTTGCCATTCTTGAAATGTTCTTGGTTGTTGTTGGCTTGGCTTCCTTACCCCACCTTTTACCCTTCGTCTAACCTTTGCACTTGGTGCTACCCACAGAAACTAAAAAGCGTGGCTCAAATGTGCTCAACCGCACTGCCAGTCGCAAGGGAAGTGAGCCACCACACAAGACCAATAAGAATGAGGGGCGCTCGTCCTCCGTTGGCGGCTGCCTTGATATGCAAGAGCCCCGTGACAGTGGTCTCGGCATGCAGCGTGCACACACCCTCAACATGGACCCCGCCTATATGGCTCGTCGCTCGTGCGTTGGCCTGTTTTATTTGCCCCTCTTAACCCCCCAACATTCTTGACTTAAATCCCGCCTGAACCTGCCTCTGCCCTCGCAGACAAAATTGGTCCGTGAGCTCAACCGATAGTGTAATTCACCACTCGGCACAATCGTCATACGCCTCGCTCGAACTGCCCAACTCAACCGACCCATTGCCCTCGGGTTGGTCTGTGGGCAAAACCCCTGAGGGTCGAGTCTTTTTCATCAAGTTTGTACCTCGTCAACCCCGAAAGCGCTTGCCCGGCTCTACCTTTTTTTTTTTTTTTTCCAGTCTTGTGTCAAATGGGTCTGATTTGCTTTGCCATGTCTGCAACTTACCGGTCAATCGCTGCTCTTCGTTGCTTGCGCTCTCTATTGCAGCGAGCGAGAGAAGACGACCACTTGGCTTGACCCGCGCACAGGTCGACCCTTCTCAGGCCAGGTCACACAGCCCAACAGCCGCGTGGTTGAGGTGGATACCTCCCCCTTTAGCGGTGTATCTCTGCCCCACGGCTGGGAAATGGCCTTGACGCCCGATGGACTTCCTTATTTTATCGACCATGTTAACAAGCGCACATCCTGGGAAGGTAAGACCACCCGCCTGCTCGCGCTCACGTGGTGTAACGCTCCCCGCCTCGGCTCACACTATGACGACGGTTCGCTGGGTCTCCTCCCTTAGATCCCCGAAGCCAAGCTTTCATGGACATTGAGGCCAAACGCGCCGAAATTGAGCTACGCAAGCTCCAGCTGCGACGTGAGCAGTTGGAGATTGAACGAGAAATGCTTGAGCAACAGTCCCGACTGGTAGAACAGGAAGCTGCGCGCTATTCCAACCCAACAACGTCGACCTCCACGACCCCTACCCAATCTCACATGTCGGAACTCCTTGGAGGTGTTGAAGCCACCGAGTCACTCCAATCAGCGGAGCTGGTGCCCCCGACTAAACCCTCTACGCCCTCAAAGGCCGAGCCCAGCTCGGCCTCCACGCCCCAGCCTCGGGATCAGGCTCACCATGCTCATGAGATGCCGCAGATTGATGTTTTTGCTGATCTCGGTCGCCTGGAAGGCGCTCCAGACCTGACTGGCTTTGACCCTAGCCTGGCTGAGCATTTGGGTGAGCCTTCCAAGGATTCGAGCTATGCCAGCTACGCTAGCTGGACAGGGCTCGATAGCGAGGCGCTTCTGGGTCTCGAGAACATGGACTCGCTCGATACTTACTTGCAACTCGGCTGAACATCCTCGAGGGCGGCCTCCTTTTTCCTCTTTCTTGTTTTTTTTTTTTTTTTTTTGTCATCATGCTAACGCAACCATTTTGACTCGTCCCTCGCTTCGCGCGGGAGTTATTTCATGTTGTTGTTGCTATTGATTCTTTCTGACTCGAGTCTTGCTCCGGCTTGTGACGCGTGCATCTACCGTCTGGGCCGCCTGTTTTTTTACAGGCCGTCCGCACCAGTCGCCTGTTGCCCTTGCCGTTGAAGCGATGCATGTTTTTATGTCCAAGTGTTGCTTGCTTGCTGTTCGTCAAAGTGAAGGCACCTGTGCGTGATGCGCTGGCTTGGTGTTTGTGGGGTTGGGTTGCGCTGGCTTGGTTTGGCTTGGCTCAACCCCATCTCTTTGTGGGCCTGTGGCCCCGCTTTTATTACCGTGTCTCTGAGAAGCATGGTTTTGTTTCGAGTTGTTTGCCCGTTCGTTTGTATCGAGAGTTTGTCGTGGCAAGCCAGGTGTGCGTATAGGCGCGTCGCGCTTGCTGCCCCATGTCTCAGACAAGTACAAGGACGTGCGTGCTGGCGCGTCTGTTTGTTGATATAGTATTATATTATTCTTGTTGAGTTTGTGTGTGTATGTGTGTGGTCTTGCTGGTATTTGTGTTTGTTGTTGTCCACGCGCGTGTGCGGAGTGGCTCGTCTGTGCGCTCGTTGCAGCAGTGCTTTCCCTCGAGATGGACCGCCTACGGCTGGCTGTGCCGCCTGACGTGATGCATATCTGCTGCGCATTGTCTATTTTTCTGCCTAGCTTTGCCGATATCCTCATTAGCATACATGTAAGGCCTTTTTTTCCCATTCAATTTTACTCTCAAAATTCTCTGAACATGCTTGTATTTTTTTTTTTTGCCCACGTCTGCCACACCTTGCCGACAAGGTGTTTGAAGAAATGGTCCCTCTATTCTAAACTATTGGTTCCTAAAGTAAAGCATTTTGACTCGAAAGTGTGCTTGAGGCCATACTTTATAGATCAGCTTGGTCTTGCGAGTGTGGGTGTGATGTATGAACATCATCAGCAAGTGCATGAGCGAATGGCAGCGCCCCAGTCACGGACCGGCCACCGGCTACCAATGTTGCTAACATGCCACGAATCGATGCAGAACAAGAAAGCGCGTTCATGAGCGTCCTTCTCTGGTTGTGTTTCTCATTCCCAAAGGTGAAGTACCTATCGATCTTCGCGTCAAGTCGTGTTTAATTTGCTGCTGAGCGAGGGTTGGACGTTGCAATCGCAGGGCAGGGCCAATGACTGCCAAGGAGGGGGGCAGTATGATGTGAGCAGGGCACGAGTTGTCGAGCTCAGCGCAGCACACATTCACAGGCAGATGCGACAACGAGCTGCGGTCACGGCCTTTGGCGGTCTCAATGACATGCCCAATCACTATCGCCGAGCCCTCCATCTGGCTCGAATGGAGTCGTTGTGCTTGATTCCTTGGGTTGCGACATCCACGACCCCTTCCACACACACACACACACACACACACACACACACACACACACACACACACACACACAAAGAAAGCCCTCCTCCCAATTACAATCATAAGGGAACACACATGGAAACAAAAAGAAAGCGAGCGAAACAAAAGAAACCAACAAGACAAAACAAAACAACAAGTGAGAGAGAGAAAGAGAGAGAAAGCAGGCAAAAGCAACGGCTGTCAGCGTTTTTTGCAGTGCTATTTTCTTCCTTCGTCGCTTGACCACACCACCCACAGCCCCTTGCTTACACAAATAGACCTTCTCCTGCAATCCTCCATCATATCGCGCGGCGGGGCGCCCCAAGCCGACTGGTGGTGACCATTCGTTGGTCTTTTTCTTATTGGACTTGTGGTGATTGATTAACCAAGTCAACCACACCTCGGTGAGTACAGCGTCCTGGTGCTCTGTCTGCCCTGGGCTGTAGCTGCCACTAAGACCCATTGTAGTCACCGTGTTGGTATCTGGGCTTGAAGTTGTCGGCCCCGTGTACTGACTGGCTTTGATGGCGCCCTTACTCGAAACCTATTCACTGTTGCCTGATATCGCGCCTTGTTGTGTGTGCACATAGGGGTTCAGCAGACCTTGCAAACAAACCTGTCCCTTGGGAACCTGTCAATCATGTTACCAGCTTTAACGAGCGCCCGGGGCGCCATTGTGCGCACTAGCCGTGCACTGCCCCTTTTGGCCCAATCACGCGCCCACCTTCACGTAAGTTTGAACGCTGGCCCACCTGCCTCGCAGTCAACAATGTGTGGCATCTCCTCGCTCTCTTTTTGTTTTTGTTTTTTCCCTTTGGGCCTTTGGGGTTTCCTTCCTGCTTCTCTTGTTTCCTCGTTCGCTTTGCCTCTCTCTTCACCCAACTCCCTCTGCCTTCATGTTCGCCGACCTGCGCTCACGGGCTTCATCTGACTCGCACAGCGGCGAACGGAGAACCGGATCGTCGCCGAGGCCGGCGAAGTGCCACCCATCTCCCAGCCTCCGTTAGACTTGGCTCATCCTCCTACCAGCGAGGTGCTGGACTTTCACAACACCCAGACTGCCTTTCAGGATAAGTCCCTAACAGATCTTTTGCTGGCTTATGCCGTCTACAAGGCCTGCATGTTTAGCCCCCTGGTCAAGCATGCCGACTCGGTATATAAACTGTCGCGCCGCTTCCTGGGTCCGCGCATTACTGATGGTGTCGTTCGCGCCACCTTCTTCCGTCACTTTTGCGGCGGCGAGAACAACAACGACCTGCTCGAAACCACCACGTCCCTCAAGAACTCGGGTATCGGTGCAATCATGGACTATGCTGCTGAAGCCGATGTAGTCAAGAAGCCGGACGTTGTCAGCGAGGTTAAGGCCAAATCCAGCGCTCGCGTGTACGACTACATTTCCGAGGCGCAGTGCGATCGCAACGTTCAGCATTTTCTCGACTGCATTGAGTCTGTGCACCAAGTCACTCCCGGTGGCATTGCCGGTCAGTACCCCGACTGTTCTCCATCGCCGGTACCCTTCTTGGTCGAACAGGGCTCCCTCATGGACGTTGATTACTGCACTGTCTGCTCACTCACCACTCACCTAATCCGACTGCTTCCCGCAACACAGCGATCAAGATTACTGCCCTCGGACTGCCTGATCTTATTGAGCGCATGGCCGTGGCCATCACACGCACCCAATGGTGAGTGGCACATCTTGCGCCCGTTGACAGCGGGATCGAATGGACATGTGGGCCTCTTGCCTTGGGCTTTCTTTTCTGTTCTTTTCTTTTCTTTCTTTCTCTTCTTCTTCTTTTGGGCCTTCACGCTGATATGCACACACTTTGGGGGGGGCGTCTTGATAGGCTCTTTTCATTGATTGATTCTGACAACTCTGGCACCCTATCTGCGGACGAGTTTGAAAAGGCCGTGGCTACTTTCTTCCCCGACATTGATGGTCCGTATCGTGAACGCATATTCCTGTCTTGGTTGTGCATAGCTGCGGTGGTGTGGTATTGGCCCTTTTATGTCACCCACCCATTCATCTTTCGACTCGGCCTGCACGTTCCCTTCTTCCCCCTTTTAACAGATGCGCAAGCCAAAGAAGTCTTTCACGCCATTGATACAGACTCGGACAGTGAGGTCGACTACATTGAATGGACCCATTCGCTGCGCATGGAGGATGTCTGGAATCTGATCCGGTCTGCCGGCCCCAACACTCCCTTGGGTGAGCTGCAAGAAGCCATGCTGGATGAAACTGAGCTCGAGCTCATGCGCAACATGATGCGACGCCTCCACACGCTGGTCGACTATGCTGCCGAGCGCAAGGTCCGACTTATGGTCGATGCTGAACAAACTTACTTTCAGCCTGCCAGTAAGTTTTTTTTTTTTTTTTTTTTTTTTTTTTTTTTTTTTTTTTTGAGGAGATTGTCTTTGTTTTCGTTCTGCTTTGCCATTTTGCGCTTCCGGAATTCCTTTGGGGTCTGAAGGGGTTTGTTTGAGACTTGGCTTCTCGCTGGGTGTACCTGATGTCTCCCCGACGTGTTTGTACATTCTAGTCCACAACCTGGCCCTGGGTCTGCAGCGCAAGTACAACAAGGAGCTCCCCTTGGTCTACAACACTTACCAATGCTATTTGAAGGATACCCTCTCTACCCTTGAGCACGACTTGCAGCGCGCTCGTCGTGAGAACTGGTGGTTTGCGTGCAAGCTTGTGCGCGGCGCCTACATGGAGATGGAACGCCAGCTGGCTAGTGACAAGGGCTACCCCAGCCCCATTTGCGATACCCAAGATGACACGCACCGCACATACAACACATCCATCAACATGATCCTCAACCAAGACCGCGCTAATCTGCTCGTGGCCTCCCACAACCAAGCCAGCATCGAGTATACCATCTCGGAAATGCAAAAGCGTGGCATTGATAAGCAAACGGGCGGTGTTTGCTTTGCTCAACTTCTGGGCATGTGCGACCACCTGACCTACACACTGGGCATCAATGGCTACAAGGTATGGAACCGTCCTATCGAGCCCCCACTAGATTGAACCTTCCCGTGGCCTCTTTGCTGTGTATTCACGTGATGTTGTGCTGCGTGATACAACCTCTTGTAGGCCTTTAAGTATGTGCCCTATGGCCCAGTCAATGAGGTCATTCCCTACCTCGTTCGTCGTGCCCACGAGAACAGGTGCGTGTGTGCAAGCTTTTGCTTGGGTACCGGACAGCCCCATCAACAGCTGTTGACCCTCCTTCTCGTCCTCACCCTTTCTGTCATGTCGCCCTTGCAGCTCAATGCTGGGTGGAGCGCAGCGTGAACTGGCCATTTTGCGTCGAGAGATTAAGCGTCGCGTCTTCGGCTAAGCGTAATGCCGGGATCTGAGTTACCTACGCTGTGCTTAGCCCTTGATATCTGCTTGGGACGGCACGCCATCGATCTCTCTTGCCCCTTATTGCTTGCTCTCTTTCTTATTCTCTCCCTTTTTCCCTCTCTCTCTCCTCTCTCTCTCTCTTCCTGTCTCTCTTTTCTTGTTCCCTGTCGTGTCTGTTGGCGTTTGTTGTGCTGCACCTCTTTCGGCTTGTCTCGTGACCTAGTGGTCAATCTGGAAGAGCATCATCTGACTGCAAATTGATTGGCACGTTTAAGTGCTCGATTTTTTATTAGGTGCAAGTTTCTTATGGGGGTCAAGATTTTTAGAACTTTTGAGCGGGAAAAGAAGGTTTTTGTCGACAAATCATTCCACAAGCCCAATTTACATCCGGTCTGCAGATTGACTGCGACGTTCCATTTCCTGCGCTTTTCGGCCGCTTGCTTCTCAAAACGCCACGATGAACCTGGGACTGTTGCATGAGCCGTGCCAGCTGGGACTCAAGCCCAAGCACGATGATGACTCTGCCACTGCTTCGAGCCTTCCAGCCCTGCCGGCGGCCCAAGCTGCTCCACGACCCGAGCCAGTCACAGAAGGGCTGGCTGGATCTTCTTTGAAGCTGCCGTTCAACCTGCACCCAATGTCGCCAGCACGCCAAGCCCTGCTCGACGAAGCCCTCGTCAGTCAGGCTCAGCAGGAAATTGAGAATCCTTTTGCCCCACCTCAAGCCGGTGAGTCTGATCTTCGTGGCCCTTCGCCTTGCTTGCGCACGTGACCTCATCACCAGCTCTGCTCTCAACCATGCACGGCTGTGCTAGGCACGGACGCATGCCATGCCCAAGCTCTGAACCAGGCTGCTCTGCCAGCAGGAGAAACAAAGACCGCCTCTCAACCCCATTCAAGCCCCATGCTGACTGTGCCCAAGAATGAGAATGACCCCGTCTGTGCGTCTTCTTCGCAGCAGCTTCATGTCAACACGCAGGTGATTGCCACCGCCAAGAGCCCAAGCGCAGCATTCTTGCCACCGCAGATGGGGACGATCTCATTGCTGCCTGCGGCCGACGATCTCAGCCCCGGGTCGTGTGAAACCAGCCAACATGTTGCTGATCTGACGGAGCCAGTCGAAGAGACTGGTCAGCGCGACAATGATCAGGTCGCCTATCCAATGAATCCATCAGTCTCGTTTCTTCCGGCCCCAGTGGCCCTGTCGACATCGTCAGATGACAAGCTACCCAGCGGGGTGCTGCCACCGGCATCTTCGGCATCGATTATCGAGCAAGAGGCAGACCCTGCGAGCCCACTTCATGCAGACGTGCATGTGCATCCTCACTCCGGGCTGCCGAGCCCTGTGCGGCGTGCGTCCACCTCGGAAGGCGAGCTCAAAGTACCCTGTGCGCATGGTGACCCCGCTGATACATCTGGTGGACAACCTGTCACCGACGCTGAGCCCTCGATGGCCGAGTCTTTGGGAGGCATCCCACTGCTGCCAAAAACAGCAGGGCCTGGCCCGTCCGCAAGCGTCGAACCAGCTGAGCTGCCAGCAAGTGATGAGCAGACTGAGTACATGGAAAACATGAAGGAGCCGGTTGCTTTCGCTTGGGATGAATCTGATGATGAGCAAGCTCAAACCGCCAGCACGAGACCTGAGACCCCGGAGACCCCTTCCCCACCGGCATCGCAGCATCGTCTTGAAGGAGCAAATGAGGCACGGGGCGAGGTGGCTCTCCACACTCCAATGCCCATGTTTACACCCGATCGCAGCGCTCAACGCCTTGGTTCAAAGCTTCTATCGGCGCGTCGACGTCTGCGCGTGGGGTGCGTGCGTCGCCCACCCGTTCCAACCCGTTCCCCTGCGCCCTGTCTTTATGCTTGAACGGATCATTTTTCTCACCTTGCTGCGTGTACTCTCCTGGGCAATCAACCGCAGCCTTTCGAAGCGTGCCAAAATTTCGGCTTTGCACAAGTAAATGCTTTCGCACCGAGCAGCGTGTCATGCTGCGAAGGGTTGTTATTTCACATCAACCAATGAGACAGAGACTGCCTGGGTTGCTGCACTATTGGCCGAGGTGAATGAACATGTCTGTGACGCGTCATCGATTTGATCACATCAGAAACGAGCAGTCATTTCGAGAACGTGGCGGCAGACAGCGTTGCCATCCACAATTCTAACTCGCCCATCAGCCACGCATATCAACATTTATCTGCTCACCCAAGGCGGTGGCTACACGACTAGAAGACAGAATACGAACAATGGAAAGGATCTTAAAAACTCACGAGAGAATATCATGGGGGAAAAGAGCGGGTGGGTCGGTGTTTGTCACACTCACACCGCCCCACCATACACAACGCACGACTGTCATGGCAGAAAACAGACTCTCCATCCGTTCTTGTAAGAAACAAGACCAGACGAGGAACCTGCAAACAGCATGAATATAGACACTTGCGCGCGTTTTAACACTCAAGTTCAGGCGACAAGGGAGGGATCCCCTTCAAACCCAACAAAAGGGTGCTGATGCTCGTCACAATTGCAGGCGCGGCCTGCGTCGGCCCTCCGCATAGATGTTGCTCCTTGCAACATCGGAGAGCATATCGGGCACGCCTAAACCTCAGTACGGCGACTTGTATCGACTGAGAACCGCCAGCGAGCCAGTACAGCTTTGCTGTCGTCGCCTTGGGCGTTTGCTGCCACAGCGGGCACCACTTGGAAAACAGAGGTACCTACCAGACCAAGCGACAGTCATCAAATGGAAGAACAAAACCAATAAGCAAAGTGAGTGCACAGTTATGAGTCTTGGCTCTCGCAAGCAGAGGGTAACAGGGAAGAGGTTGCGCAGCAAGTGCATCGCTCCATCAACTTACGTGGTTTGGCCACTTGAATGACTTCACTTGGGGTGCCTGTAGACTGTCGGATTGGAGGCGAGATCGAGGTGGATGGACTGCTGCGAGGCTCAGGTCCAGCCAGAGTCTGATTCATGGCCCATACAGCGTCTTGCACGCGAGATGTCTTGACTAATTCTCGCGGACGCGCGGCCACAGGTGCTACGTGTTCCTCCTCCGGTCCAAGAGCCATGCGACGATGATCGGCTGAGGAAAGGCCTTTTTTGCTGGGCACCGGAGAAGAAGAGGGTGAGGAGACGACCGAGCGCGCCATGGGCGAGCTCGGGGCCTGAAGCGTTGTCGCCATGCGTAAAGCGCCTGGAGAGTTGGCGCGGCGCTTCCCGGAACCACCGTTTCGACGAATCCCTGGACTGCGATTGAGATTCGAAAACTGCCGTGTCAGGTCTCGGACGTTGGTGCTGGTAAGATTCTCCTGGGATGCTTTTCGAGAAGGCTGCCAGACCTGGGAGCGCGAGCCCTTGCGATTGAGACGCGAAACCGCCAAAGCCGGGATTCGAGAACGCGGCTGCGAGTCCGTCTGGCGTCGCCCGCGTGATAGCGTGGGCGACGCAGAGTTGAAGCGACGCACAGCGTCGCTGACGGACACGAGGCGTTGCTCCTCGTGTAGATTTGGAGCTTGCGTCGCAGTATGCGCGGAAATCCATGGCACGCCCGAAGACGCAGCAGCTACCTGAGCCTCATTATCCACGTCGACAATGGACACGGAACTTCGAGCTGAGGCCGTAGTATGTGAACTCAGAGCCAAGCCTAGCGTTGCGGCGGTTGTCTCTCCTCCTGCAAAATCAGCCGCCGTGCCTGCGCGAAAGCTTAAAGTCGATGCACGGGCGCTGCCACGCACCGCGTTGCCTGTTGGCAGTCGTTCTGATGCGGGCAACGTTGTCTCAAAGCGCGCACTCAGGCGGCGCTCGAGCCGAGGCGGCGGTGGGAGATCGTGAGAGCCACGGCGATCCTGGCTTTGTCCCTCCTTAAACGCCAAAGCACGCGCCTGGGGTTCTGATGAAATGGATTGCCGCCCCAACCGTGCATGGGTCGACGTTTCCGCAGTACCCATGAAGCGTGACCGAGCGGCTAAAAACGCCTCCCGAGTTCGAAAGCGTGGCGCCTCCAAAGTCAAAGCCGGCATTTCCTCCAGAGTACCCCTGAAGGTATGATCGCCCTCTTGGGCCTGAGCCTTTGACTCTGCAATGCTGGGTGAGTGGTAGCCCCCCGTTGCTTCATCAGATGCTTCATGTTCGCCTTCGACGCCATCATTATCAACGTCATCGTCGTCGTCGTCGTCGTCGTCGTCGTCATCGTCATCATCGCCATCATTGCCATCGTCACCCTCATCGTCAAAGGCGCTCGGTAGGCCACGCCCACCGCGATTCAGGCGCGTGGGTGTATTCATCCGCACATCTCCGTTGAGAAGCTGCAGCACGCGGTTGATGACCCCCTCGGCGGGAGAGCTGCTCAGCGAGCGAGCATCACTTTTGCATGCCTGCATAGCCCCAGCATTACTCTGGGCCTCGTCCTTTGCTGTGCCGAGGGAAACAGGGAACACCGGGGCTGGCACGGCCGCAGCAGTCGGGGTGATGTTGTTGCTACGGGGCAAAGAGACGGCCTCAGACGGATGCTCCAAAACCACAGGCGACGGATTGGATTGTGACGCCGCCGGCCGAGGTGCGGCTCGTTCGCGATCAAACTGCGACGCGAGCTTGAGGTGGGCGGGTTTGGGAGGCAAGAGCGGTTTGCTTCCCGACGCCGGGCTGGGCGTGCGCCCGGATACGCAAATAGGCAATGGAGACTCGGAGGACTGCCGCGTTCTATGGGGAGGCTGGCCACTTGCCGCCAGAGCCAAGACAGAGGACTCTTGCTTGCTGGAGCGCCCACTGTAGAGACCATCTAATTCAAGGGAGGTTTGTGGTTCCAGTTTGCTGGAGCGGCCACTGTAAAGTCCGTCCAGATCGAGTGACGCCTTTGACCCCTGCAAAGACTTGATGTTTTGGTACAGGGACTCATTGGTGTCTTCCGGCTCATCGTTGATCCCCACATCGTTGAGGTTGTCATAGGGATCGGTGCTGGCACGACCGTTGCTGGTGGTGACGGTCAGACAGGCGACCAACTCCTCGACGCTCAGTTGCTTCAGCGGTGCTCGCGCAGAAGGTGCAGAATTCCGCTCAGTTGGATGCGTGCCGGCCTCGATCTCGGGACTGCCGACCGCCGAACCATTGACCATCTGCCCAACGCCGGCGTTGCCGCCGGTGATCGAGGCGGGTGTTTGGTCGGAACGGGGCGCAGGGCAAGACGTCACTGGGCGGCCTTCTTTTGCTTGCTGTTCGTGCACAGCCAGTTCCCCGTCGTAATTTGGGTTGGTGCGTCGACGACGAGGCTTGGGCAAAGTTTTGCCCAACATCGAAATATCGACAGGAATAGAAGACCGCGAAGACGTTTTGCTGGGAAGCGGGAGAGTCTCTGTACTGGAGCGCGTCGCCCAGAGAGGTACGCGCGGCACCTCATCAGTGCTGGTCTCTCCCGGCAGCTGCTCTCCGCCCTGCAGAGTGAGGCGCCAAGTGGGTGCGACGGCGGCTTTCGTGAAGTGACCAGAGGCAGTTTCCTCAATGCTGGCCACGGCCGAAGGCGCTGCCGAGCCCCATGCCGTGGGCACGTTGGCTGCGCCGACGGACTCTTGGTTACCGGTGTGGGAAAGCGAGGCTGATGGCAAGTCAGTGGCAACGGGGAGCCGCTGTGTCAAGTCCAGTGAACTTTCAAGGGCATCATCAACAGGGTCCGCGACGTCGTGCAAGCGATCATAACCATCGTCATCGTTCAAGCCACGGCCACTGACTGAAGAGGCATAGCTGTCGGTGCGCGTGGAGCGGCGCTCGAGGCGCCCCTGATCATACTCGGCCACCTCAACATCAGGCTCACCCGTCTCTGTGGAGGAGGATAGTGTCGACCCCTCGAATAGAGAGCGGGCTGGGCGCACGGTGACGCCTGCGCAGTTGGCCAAGTCATTGCTCATGTCTGACCAGTCCAGGGGCTTTCCGGGGTCGTCATCTGCCAACAGTCAGCACCGCAATGCGTTGTGAGTTTAGTTGGCGTGCTGCGGCAGCAAAACGGAACCATGACAGCAGAGCGTGCAGGTCAACCCCATCTGGGAGGGGCATCGAACCTCGACGGAGGACGTGGGATCCAACGTTGATGCCACGTTTGAGAAGGGCTTTGGCGAACACGGCGTGAAGCGTTTGTCCGGGCGAGGCCAGCACCTTGGTATGAGTACCGCCCGGGAAGGTCAAGCGGACCATCCACTTGCCAGCCTTGATGAAGCTGGGCGAGGTTGGGGTGATGGGCTCGCTAGAAAGGCGTAGCACGCGCATGGGAGCAACAAAGGGGCGGGGGGTTAATGTCAGCGCAAGACGAGCATCGAACGAGCGGCGCGAATGAAAAAAAAACAGGCGGGTCAAGCTCCCACAACTGGTCTCATCGCAACAGAGTTGAAAAAAGCAAAACACTTACGTGTGATCTTCCTCATCATCTACGCAGCCCTCGATGGGTCGAGAGTTGCGACGTGTTGTGTCAACAATATGCATGGCAGCGCGCGTATCCTCATTGCCTGCGGCAGTGACTGGCAACGCGAACATTGCATCGATGCCAGAGCCACGACGATGGGGGACGGCCGTCAGCCGGGCAATGCCCTTACTCCGCTTGGCTTTGCTGGTCGGAGCAACGACACCGCCCTTGGCATCGCGCCATCGCGGCGCGTTGGTAGCTTTGCCAACCGTGCGCGATTGTTGCCAGGCGTCGATCATGTCGTCTGAGTGCCGTTTGCTGGCGTAAAACTGGGTCAGGAGCTACTCGCACCGAGGGGCACAGGTGGACGGAAAGGGTCGAGTGAGGATGGGTGAGGTGTTCATCGATGTGCGCAGGAAAACGAAAGGTCGTGGGAGGCGGACAGACCTTTTTGATGCGATGCACCCAGTATTGCTTTTCGCGTTCGGATTCGCAGTGAAAGGTGAGACCGCTGAGCTTACTGCCCGGGGTCATATCCATGCGAAAAGCATTGCCGTCGTTGAGTGACGTGTTGAGGCAGAACTTATCCATAAAGCACATGCGCTTGATCTGGACGGCATCGGACGATTTCCATTTGCAAACAACCACGGCAGCTTCAAAGAGCATGACATAGCGCTCGGCCCGCTTGCTGTGGTTGTCCTCGGTAATGCGCATGGTGGCGACCTCACTGAGCGCACCCAAGTGTGTCAGGGGCAGACCATCCCAGCCCGCAACGCAGGCATCAAGCTCCCGTACGTATTCGGCCGTTTCATTGCGAGCCTTGATCTATCCCCGGATAAATGATGGGCGTCGTTTTATTTTAGCGCAGCGTGCAACCTGCGCTCGACGTGACCAACGGGGGGCTATAGGTGAATGAGATGCGTACCTCGTTGATGCGGGTGGCCACCTCTTTGAAGATGCTGCCAGCTTGCTCAATGTCAGCATAGTGCGGCGCGGATGTGGGTGTAGCCTTGAGAAGCTCGCTGAGCAACAGTGGGTATTTGAGCAGACGCTGCACGGGCTTTAGCAGGTAGTCTGCCAACGGTAGCTGATGGCCGGCAAGCATTTGGCACCCGAGGCGCATGGCATTGAACCCATCCTGAGTCGACTTTGTCTGCACCGTGACCATGGCATGCAGGGCGTCAAGATGAGATCAAGACAAGGCGGTGGACTTGGATAATACAGCTCAGCATATAGGGTTCGGCCAAGGGCCGTGCTCTACCTGAAGCATGGCTACAGCTTGAGGATGGTTGACATAGTACTTTTCGTAAATCATAAACTTGTTGCCGTTGTGCGCCAGAAGTCGGCCGATGAGCACAGGGGATTGGCGAACACAAGATTCGAGCTAAGCATCAGGAGCAAGGTCGAGAGCGAAAGGATCGCGCGGCGGAAACATAAAAGTGAGTGGCAAGCCAAGGACAAACTTTGTCTCAGGTCGGACGTGGGACGTGAGAAGCAAGGCGTGGTGCAGACCTGGCGAAGAAAGCCCGCATGAAGGTGAAGGATGCTGCGTATGTTGCCAAATATTGTCTCGCATTCACTGCTGGGCAGTGATATCTCAAACTGCCGGCAATAGATTTGAACAATGGACTGAAGGTCGCGCACATAGTCGCGTTCTGTCTTGAGCAACTCATTGATAATGTGCTGGCATTGCTGTACTCATTGGGAGCAAAGGATAGAAAAGGGTAAACAGGTTAGGGATCAGACGATGAAGGATCAAGGCCGTGCTGTGGAACAGGGAGCCAAATACAGGAGCCGACATCGCCAAACGTGATCTTGCTCGACAACGTACCGGTGTGATGCTTGTGTTGACACGGGTCAAGTCTTGCTCCTCCTCATCTTGCTCTGGTGGAAGGGTCCAGGAGCGACGCTCGTCAAGCTCCCGAGAGAGCCGCGCGGGACGCTGCTCAACGTGAGCTGATGCTATGGTGAGACAATGGGGTAGCAATGGTGATTGGGCTGACTGTCAGAGGCCGGCAGGAAACCATGAAGACCTGGGTATCGCAAGTGCGGTAAAAAAAATAAAGATAGAAAGAAAAAAAGAGCTCAAGACAGACCTCGAGCGCGGCGAGACACAACTACATTGGAAGGATTGCCCATGGAATCGATCCCAGGTCCTGGTGGGGCAGATCCTGGGCGCTGGTACATTTTGGAGGGGTGTGCACTAGCTGGCCCTTCGTCCATGTGCAGGGCTGCAGGCACACGATGCTCAGGGGGAGTAATGTGCAGGTGGGGCACGCCGTTTTCATGAACGGCTGTCATGGTGCTCTACGCAGCGCCACATGGTCTCGCCGGCGGAGACAAGTCTTGGAAGCGAAAGCAAACAGGAGGGAAGAATCGCCAAGTTTGTAGCCACAACCAGGCGAAACGGAAGCCGCAGGGCAGGAGGTGAGGCGGGGATTGCGAGGTGATGCCACGTCTTCTTTTCACGCGCCCGTAAAAGACCGTGTATTCTCGGCCACTTCCGACACTGGGCACAACTCATGTGACAGAAAGCTGTTGACCAGTCACAGCGGAGGCACAGCGGAGGAGAATGAGCAAGGTGTCACCCACCTTGATGGGTCGCGCCAAGGCTCGGGACTCGAAGCACTTGCGACTCACGTAGGCTAGTTGGGTATGCGAGGGGGGTCGTTCAACACGAGAGCCAATGGACGTGCGTGTGTAACTGTCTGTGCGTGTGTGGCGGCGGCACGTTGCGTCGTACGCCGCGAAGGATGATGCCGAGCTCGAAATCGAATCTTATCGGGCAATACGTGTGGACGCAACCAGACAAGATCGGTTGTGGGAATGCCGAGCGAGACCACTTCAGAGGATATTCCCTGATGCTTTTCTTTCTGAGGTCTGTTTTTTTATTTTTCTTTTTCTCGAGGTTTTTTTTTTTATGCACTTGAAGGCCTGAGTGCTTGTGCGCGGTTCCTGCGCGCTTACTTACTTCCAGTTGGTGACCCTTGCCCGCTGCTTGTCGTTTCAATCTCGGTGGTTTGTTTTGGCTTGGCAGGAGAAGGAGGCCTGTGTGGCGGCAGATGGCTGGAGCGGACGCCGTGACAGCGGGTGGCATGTTTCAAGTGGAATCTTAAGCGGCTTGGTGCAGAGCGCAGGCTGAGTGATCGGGAGCAGGCGAAAGGTGGGACGTGCATAGCTATGGCAGGTATGCGATCTGCCGCGGACACGCAACGCTTGGTTCGGCCGGACCAAGACGCACGAGATAACCTGCCGCCTCGGCAACGCCAAACGCATATGCATGCATACAAGCAAAGTTGATATTGGCCAGAACAGCGATTGCCAACCACTTATCCCCCGCCAAAACAGCTGTTTCAACCATCAACTTGAAGGGCTAAACTTGGCACCGAGTGAGTTGTCAGCAAAATAAAGGTACCAAAGGTGGTTCTTCAGTGTGTGTGTGTGTGTGTGTGTGTGTGTGTGTGTGTGTGTGTGTGTGTGTGTGTGTGTGTGTGTGTGTGTGTGTGTGTGTGTGTGTGTGTGTGTGTGTGTGTGTGTGTGTGTGTGTGTGTGTGTGTGTGTGTGTGTGTGTGTGTGTGTGTGTTGTTGTTGCTCGTGCCGCGTTGCCTCTCTGTCATTCTGCGAGCTCAGTCAGGAGTGTACGTGGCGCACTGCCGTGCCGTGTTGGACAACGAGGCTGGCATGAAAGAGACTGTTCCAATACAACTGAAGTCGGCGCATTTTATCTCTCTGGTCGTTCACCGGCAGAACGCCTCTCACGCTTTGCGCTCTGGAATCGGGTTGGCACCGCGTACAGGCGGTTCTTCGTTCTGCCGTTTCTGCAGTGAAGCAGGTGTAGCACAAGACCTTTGGAGCCGGACAAGATCGTGGTGTTTCCTTCACCTGCTGTCCAGCTTTTGGCCACTGACCCTTGGCATCATGTCTCATAGCCCGTCCGAGGATGGGCCTGCCAAGGCCGCCTACGAAGCCTACGCGGCGCAGGTGTGAGCCAGCAGCATGTCTGCCAACCTTGCTGGTTGATGGATGCTCGGAACGGAACGAGCCCTAGAGTTGGTTCGCTGACATGTCATGGCGTGGACTCGGTCTTGGGCGTTGTCCTTAGGTACTGGAGGAACCGTATCGCTACGTGACGCAAAAGCCTGGCAAGGATATTCGCAGCAAGTTGATCAACGCCTTCAATGCCTGGCTCAAGGTGCCGGACGACAAGCTCGCCATCATCAAGGAGGTCACCAAGATTCTTCACAACGCCAGTCTACTGTACGACTGGCCACCCTCGGATACCTCGTGTCACGGACCCAACATCTGACACTCACGCCAAGGTGTCTCTTGTTTTGATTGGCAACAACAGGATTGATGATATTGAAGACAACTCAAAGCTACGCCGTGGCCTACCTGGTACGCGCCACCCCGCTTGCCTTGCGCGGCTGTTGGATTAGAACAGGTCCAACCCTCGGCCCTTCCTTTCTTTTTTTTTGAAAGTCTTCATGGAAGCTCATGCCAGTCATGCCGTGCAGTGGCCCACGCCATTTTTGGCATTCCCCAAACTATCAACTGTGCCAACTACATGTACTTTATCTGTATGGCCAAGGTCATGGACCTGCAGTCTCCGGCTGCAGCCCAGGCTTTTACTGGTATGAACACTGCTTGCCAGTGCCTGTTAGACGTGCTTTTTGGGGGTCTTTGCCTATCTCACGTCTCGGACCCGGCTTTTTTTTTTTTTTTGTGTGTGTGTGTGTGTGTGTGTGCGTGTTGTTGTTGCTTCTTAGATCAGTTGATTGAGCTGCATCGCGGCCAAGGTCTTGATATCTTCTGGCGCGACACGGTGCAGTGCCCCACCGAGGAGGAATATAAGCGTATGGTGCTCCAAAGTCAGTGCTGCTGTTGTTGGACGTTTGCCTTCTCATATGGAGACCGAATATTCTTGAAGGAACGACGAGCCCTCACTTGGTGAGGTCCTGACGGGCATTGTTTTAGAGACCGGTGGCCTCTTTGCGCTGGCGCTGCGCCTCATGCAGCTCTTCAGCGACGATAAGCGGTACGCACAGTGTGTACTGCCCTTGAAAGATTGTTAGAAAACGGGGGGTTTGGGAAAAAACAACCCGGCTGAAAAGCCTCAAACACCCGCAACTCATCTCGCTTGGGTGACTGCAGAGATTTTGGACCGCTGCTCAAGACGTTCTCGCTGTACTTTCAGATACGAGACGACTACGCCAACCTGCAATCGGATGAGGTGCGAGTCTTGCGTGGTGCTTTGCCCACCCGCCGACCTGTGCGCACACGGCTCAGGTCTCAAACACCACCATGACTTTTCCCCGCAATGGCAGTATGCGGCCAACAAGTCGTTTTGTGAGGACATTACCGAAGGCAAATTCAGCTTTCCCATCATTCATTGCATTCGCCAGTACGTGTACTCCTTTTGTGAGCTCTGGGGCATGAGTTGCCACATTTCATCACGACCAGCCTATTGCCGTGCCTTGGTCAATCCCACGCCCGCTGAACTTTTTTTTTTTTTTTTCCTTTTTTTTTTTTTTTTGTGATGCGCAGGTCGCCGACGGAGCATCAGCTGCTCAACATCTTGAAGCAGCGCACGGATGACCGTGACCTCAAGCTGCATTGCCTGCGCTGCATGGAGCGCACTGGCAGCTTCACTTACACGGTACGCCCGCTCCCATGCTTTACCTCTGCCCCACCAGACGTTGCGTGATCTCGGCTAACTAGCATCGCTTCTACACCTTGCGACAGGTGGACGTGTTAAACGACTTGGAACGCACTGCCCGGGCTCAGATCGCCGAGCTGGGTGGTAACGACACCCTCGTGGCCATTTTGGATACCCTTTCCAAGCTGCATCACTAGTCACACGGACATGACCCGCCGATCGATCATTTAAGCACGCGCGGCCGAGCCGCCCCAAAAATTTGATGATTGTCAAACAAGCTACAAAAACAAAACACCCCTTCAAATTTAAATTGTCATGACCACAACAAACGGGACAGGTGACGAAGCGATGACACAAACACCCAAAGCAATGGGGCATCGAGATTCACTAGAACCGCATCTCCTTAACACACATTTTGACATGACATTGTGAATGCGCAGCTCGCAGCGGACATGGGCTCTTGGCACGAAATTTGAATCGGATGGAGATGAGGCTGGCAAGAGCAGCAGGTGGTGTTGCTGATTGAACCTGACCACACACACACACACACACACACACACACACACACACACACAGACGATTCACAACACGATACACCTGTCCCGGATCAAATTGCCACAACAACAACGACACCCATCCTGTCATGAGCACAAACAGATGGGCAACGCCTCCTGCTACAACACTTAAAATTTGAGACCTCACGCGAGGTGTGTAAACCTTGTCTCGAACATCGCGATATGGCAGTCATCTTGAACTGGGTCACAAAGCACAAAGCGGCACGACCTTTATGCTCTCCGTTGGCGCTCACCCCCTATCGCTCCTATTGTTTCAATCCCCCACTCTCTCCCACGAAAAAAATTAAAATTTCACACACACACACACACACACACACACACACACACACACACATGTTCAAACAGTTGGCATTTTACTTTTTTTTTGCGCTGAGCAAAGGTAGCTAGCACCATGCGCAAATGCCACGAGCAGCGATAGAGGGGGAGCGGGGCGGGAGCGATCAGTCATGGGGCTGGGATCATGAGCCTCAGGAAGGATGTCCAGGGGTACATGATGCCCGGTCAGCCAATGTCTGGGCCGGTGCCCCACTCATCGCCATCGACTTGCCGTTGGTTGTGCCCCGCCGCAGCAGCAGCGTGTCTGAATCCTGCCTTGCTTTCCCGGCACTTGCGGGGACGCAAGCAAAGACCTCGCGACAACGCTCAATCCCTGAGGGGTAAAACCTCACACCGCCTCTCTCTAGCTCACTCCGGCGCTCTTTTGGTGGCGTTGAGGTACTTGCTGCCGTGCGCATCAAACAGATGCCAGCCCCATTGTTTCCGCAACCGACCCAACCAAGACAGCCTCCCTCACCCGGCCACGACTGCATGTCTGCCCTTCTTCCATAGCCTCAACCACCAGGATGAAGTTTGACGAATGCGGCACCGATGTGGCCACGGTGGTGGACGGTCTCTACCTCATCATCATGGCCATCATGGTCTACAACATGCAGCTCGGTTTTGCCCTTCTCGAAGCTGGTACCGTCTCCATCAATGCCACCATGGCCACCCTCTTCAAGAATGTGTTTGACATGTTCATCGGCACCGTCTCTTTCCTCGTCTTTGGCTACGCCTTTGCCTTTGGACACGGCAACAAATTCATTGGCAACGAAGGCTTTGTCCTCGATTCCGTTTCCCAATGCGACTACCCCTTCTTCTTTTTCCAAGCTGCCTTCGCTGCCGCTTGCACCACCATTATCTCCGGCTCTGTAGCTGGCCGTGCCTCTTCCACAATGTACATCGTCTACTCTATGGGAGTGACGGGCCTTGTCTACCCCGTCGTTGTCCATTGGGTCTGGTCTAGCAACGCCTGGCTGACTGAGGGTAGCAACGGCCACGGCTTTGTCGATTTTGCTGGTAGCGGCGTTGTTCACACGACCGGAGGCATCATTGCCCTCGTTGGCGCGTGGCTCCTCAAGCCCCGCCTCAGTCGCCTGGACCTCGATGGCGACTTTCGCCCCGTTCGACCGCACTCGGTTCCCCTCATAATCATGGGTGGCCTCATCCTCGTCGTGGGCTTCTTGGCCTTCAACGCCGGCTCCCTCATTTCTCTTCAGTCGGCTGACGCCGTGTCTCGCATCGGCGTGATTGCTATCAATACCATTGTCGCCGCCTCCGCGGGTGGCCTCATGGGTACCTTCATCGATTACATCGCCCATGGCGAGATGTCCCTCCTTCAAGCCACGAATGGCATGCTGGCCGGGAGCGTCGCCATCTGTGCCAGCGCTCACGTCGTCCTCCCCTGGGCCGCTCTCCTTATCGGTGGCATCGCTGGCATTGTTTGCTTGGGTTGGTCATACGTTCTTCCCAAGCTTGGAATCGATGACGCCGTCTCTGCCTTCCCCGTCCACGCCGGTGCGGGCCTGTGGGGCCTCTTTGCTGTGGCCTTTTTCAGCACAGAGACTGGCCTGTTTTACGTCGAGGCCGATGCCGGCTTCAAAGGGTTGGGCTGGCAGTTGCTGGGCTCTCTGGTGATTGTTGCCTGGTCCAGTGTCATGGCGCTGATCATGTTCTATCCTCTCAAGCTAATGGGCAAGCTGCGCGTGACCCAAGAATATGAAGAGCGTGGTCTTGATCTATCCTACTATGGCGGCAAAGCCTACAACGTCGAATCCGCCAACCCCAAGGTCAGCGTCGACCTCAAGCTCGACCATCAACGCGCACACCTTTACACCGACGATTCTGCGCCCAAGGCTGGCCTGCAAGTCTCTCACCGCTCTTCTGAGAGCCGGGTGATTTGAGTCACGGTCGTGATGCCTCATTCCGAGCTGCCACACCGCCGGCGCGCCGTGGTGACTTTCTACATTTTCAAAATTTTGTGTTCACATTATGCGTCTCTACTTTCCCTGCTGTATGAGACTTCATTATCCCATGTAATCGAGTGTCCAGACATGATCCCAACTGAATATGCAAGTTTGGTGGGTGCAAAAGTGTGCACCTGCCTGTGCCTAACAACAACGGTGGCTCACAGATATGAAGGATGAATTCGTAGACAAAAAGAAGACAAAGAGATCAATATGAGGGCATGGCGCAGCACACACACGAGCGGGAAGGTTCGGACAGCATACAATGTTACGACAGCACATTCAAAAGAGCAAGGCTGCGGGTTTTGGTCTTTTGGTCATCAAGCACGCTGCTAGATGAAGCTTCAGACCAAACTACTAAAATCAATCGCAATCAGAGCTCGGGGCAGGACATGGCTCTCCTGGCGCACTAACAATCGCAGATCGTCTTGGTGCGTCGTGACGACGGGATCAAATGAGTTGGCCGTGGAGGTGACGCACAGGTTGCTCACAATGGCATCGCACACCAAGAGCGTGGCTGAGTTGGACTGAGAAAGACCCAGGCTCGCATTGACTGCTGCCCGCTCTTCCAAAAAGAACAAGGCACCGGGCACGGCGTCTGAGCTGTCCGAGCTCCGCAGGGAGTTGGTGCGTGTGAGCTCGCCAAGCAACACCTTGTTGGCTGCTTTGACCGACGCAAAGGGCATGAAGACCCGAACACAGGCGATATCACGAGCAGAAGCACAGCGCTCGAGCAGCCGTGCTTCACGATAAAAACGGTCTATCAATGCCTGCCCTTGCGTGGACAGCTCTGGTTGACAGCGATTGCCATACCGCATCTTGGCTGCCTCGTGCAGGATCTGGCCGAAGAAGCCGACCTCCGCATCGGGCTTGAGGAGGAGGGTGGCACGCACGACTTCAGCCGAAAGATGGTCCGTGCGCAGCTTGAACAGACGAATGGCTTCCTCGCTCGAGTCCATGGGAAGGCACTTGATTTGCGTGTGAAACCAAGGATCGTCGCTCAATGGTTGGAGATCCAGCGGCGGCTTCCAGTCGGCATCATGCGGGCCGTTCAAGAAGGACTTGACCTGATCCACGGTCATGAGCGAGCCGCGCTGTGTGCGCAAGGCCGCCAAAACATGTAAGACGGACTGCATGCTTGGGCGGCACGCCGGATTGTCGTTGAGCATGATTGAGATCAGAAGCCGCGCGTTCGGGTTGGACACCCGGCGACACGCCTCCTCGTGACGACTTGCTGAGCTGGAGGTAGAGCTTTGATTGTACAGGGAGGTATTCCCGTTCACCTCATCCTCACCGCTGTCGCCTCCTTCATCATCTTCATCCTCGAGGACAGCGCCGAGGAGGACATTGTTGCTGTTGGTGTGGTCGGAATGGGGCTGTTCAGTCCATAACATGAGAAAGAGAAGGCCAAGCTGGTGAACGTCGCGTGCCAATGCATACTCGGGGCGTGCGACTTCAGCATTGCTTGACTTGAAAAGGTTGTTGGCACTGGCGCGCCGGCTGTTGCTAGCCGAGGAGGGCACGTCCAAGCGCTGGAGCAGGGCATGCAACGGCGGCAGGATCTTGACGTGGCCATCGGGCCAGAACCAGATGCTAAGGGCATGGACACGATAAAAAGGCACGTCGATGATATGAAAGAATTGTAGGGCGGCCGCCAGGTCTTCCATGACACGGATGCGACTACCATCCCCAGACAGATCGACCAGGAGGCGCTCGGCGGCTGCGGTCGAGGTGAGAGTGGTGCGAAAGGTTTCGCAGGGGGCACGTTCCAAGATGAGGGCTAGCGTGGAAGTGCCGTGCATCTCCAGAAGACAAAAGCCCATGACGCTGAGGACGCGAGGGTGGCGGACCAAAAGGACCTGTTGAAGATGGGCGATGACGTCGTCCGAGGCTCGTTCGAGCGTTGCCTCGGGGATACCCGTGTCTTTGATCCAAATGGGGCAACCACGCCAGCGTGAGCTCCACAGGGTACCGTCCAAGCTCGAACGCACGCTCGTCAGGCGGCCCAATTGATCGGCCGGCACTTCGAGCAAGCGGCGCAGCGCTTGCCAGGCTGAAGGGCCAGCGCTCATCATGGAAATCTCAATGAGTTTGCTTGTGAGCGTTGCCAGCTTGCTGTCCGAGGCCGCCTTCTCCTTGGCGGCCTGTTCCGCCTCTTCTTCGAGTTCGTTCACGTGTTGGAGGGTGCTGGAGAGGACACGCTTGGTGTTGCGGTGTTCTTCGCGCTCGCGGCTGAGTTTGTCAAGGAGTTCCTTGTCCATGACGTCCGATGTGGCTGCGTCTGAGGCTGCTTCAGTAGCATCCAGCTCCGATGAAGCGACCGATTGCCCATTGAGTCCCTCGTCCGATTTGTAAGCAAACCCGCTGGGGCGGCCGTTGCTCGAGGAATTCCGACAGATTCCGGTGGACGCATCACGGTGCGACATGCTAGGTACGCTCGCCATGGTGAACGGTGTGCTAGAGCGACTCCATGTGAGGCTGGAGCGAGTCACGAAGCTGTCCTCCTAGCATAAGATTAAACAAGGCACCAGCATGAAAGGAAGGCACACCCAAACGTGAGCGCCCACGCACACACGCACAGAGCATGCACCTGAGCAGCCGACCAACCTCGAGAACATCGCTGCAGGTGGAGAGGTAGCGTACGACGTCGCGCTTATTCTTTTTTTTCGCTCGCTGCAACGGGGTTTGGCCCTTGTTGTTGAGGAGGCCAAGGTTGGCGCTGTGTTTGACCAAGGCCATGACGACGGGCAGGTGGCCCATTTCAGCGGCGCGATGCAGAGCTGTGTTCCCATCCTGCAAGAAGAGGGGCGAGAAGAGCAGACTGAGAGGTGGGCGGCTCATGGGGTGACTTTATTTTTTATCGAGACAGTACTGACTTTTCGATATGAGTTGACGGTGACCGCTACTTCTGGCAGACTGAGGAGATATTTGACCCCCTCAGCTTTCCCGGATGTACTTGCAAAAATAAGCGGTGTTGTGCCGTACTATTGAGTGGCGCACACCCACCAACACAAGGAAGGTGCAAGCGTTAGACGGGAGCGAAGACACCGGCTTTGCGTGCAGGCAGCAAAGGAGTCGAATCCGGGGCCAAGAGCGCAAACGAGGTTGCCAAAAGCGAGGCGCACCGAGTCGGTGCGTTCAAATGAGACGTTGTTGCGGTGGAGGAGATCAAGAGTGGCGGGTTCGCCGGCCTGGGCGGCCTTGAAGACGACATCGGGATCGTGATTGACAGCCTCAAAAAAGGCGCCGCGGAGCCCCCGTTCCTGGGCTTGCAAAACAATACGCTCGCACTTCTTGTGGTTTTTCGAGTGCACGGCGCAGGTGAAGTCACCCACAGCGTTGAAGACAAATTCTTGATCGCCTGCGTTCGCCATGATGCTCTATGGCAGAGCCGGATCGCGCCTGTGCGGCAGCTCTGCCAATCAGCTGCCGAGCAGAGAAGTCAGGCCTCGTGGCAACTTTGCTTGCCGAAGCCATAAAAAGACCGGAAGCACGCGCCTCTCGCTTTCCCGTGTGCAACCAGCACCAGAACCCGGGTAGACACTGACCTAGGCGCGAGAACCCAACGACTCGCACCCACCAAGGCCCAGCCCAATCGAGTCGAGTCAACCAGATGCGTCGCGCCCCTCTCGCTCGCTCCGTCAGTCAAAATGCCATAATGTGCTCTCTCTCTCTCTCGCGTGTTTGGTGTTTCCTCATGTTTGTGTTTTGACAGAGAGAAGAGGGGCAGAGGTCGAGCTGGGTCAGAGCGACAACGTCTCGGCTTTACGTTATCCTCATTTTACAAAGCTGAAAGACGTGGTGCGCAGAGATAGGAACAAACCAAGTCACCTTTCTCACAGAGAGAGAGAGGGAGTTGCGGTCCGGACATGGGCACGCAATGCAACAGTCACACATTCTTTCTCTCTCTCTGCTGATATGCACATCTGAGATAGATACTTGTATACGTCAGCCTAATTCGTACGAACTGCTTGTTCCGCTTGATACTTTCGCGACCCCCACCTCTTGTTCGGCTCTTTTTTTTTTTTTGCTGTTTCTCTCTCGTTTGGCTCTCAAACTCTCAAACTCTCTCTCTCTCTCTGCTCTCTCTCTCTGAGTCTCTCGCTCTCTCTGAATCTCTCTCTCTCTCTCTCTCTCTCTCTCTCTCTCTCTCTGCTCTCTCTCTCTCTCTCTCTCTGCTCTCTCTCTCTCTCTCTCTCTCTCTCTCTCTCTCTCTCTCTCTCTCTCTCTCTCTGCTCTCTCTCTCTCTCTCTCTCTGCTCTCTCTCTCTGAGTCTCTCTCTCTGAGTCTCTCGCTCTGAATCTCTCTCTCTCTCTCTCT